TATAATTTGTTAAAGTAATGATATCGACATAATAATCAATGGCTTTTAAAATACATCGACAAATGTTTGTACATGTATTATTTTTTAAAAACAAACTAAACAAGATGAATATTAATCAAATTCTCACACCGATTGGTGTTCAGAAAAATTAATGGATGTGATATTATCATGCACTAATAAATTGAAAAAAAAAACATGTAGTAAACAACATAATGATGTCTTGAAGATTTGAATATTACACGTTTATGGCAAAGAACTATACTGAGTGAAAGGGACCTACATTTTTCCCAAATTACCCTCAGAAAAGGTGTTCATGGCCTCTTCTTCGAAATGATATTAAATTGATAATATATCAGGATTACTTTTCAGATGATAATTTCAAACTGAATGAAAATGCTTTAATTAATACATAATTCAATATTAAAGCTGTAAAGTACGGGGAATTAATTATGACGTCATAATGGAACAGTTCAGCCATGCAACAGTTCATTCTGTGACTGGGTAAACAGTATACACTTATTTCATGACTACAAGGGGAACAGTCAAACTGTTGTCCCAAGGTAATGGGGAAGACCTGGGAAACTGTTGCCCGAGGCTGAAGGCCGAGGGCAACAGTTTCCCAGGTCTTCCCCATTACCTTGGGACAACAGTTTGACTGTTCCCCTCGTAGTCATGAAATAAGTGTATACTGTGACCGGGTAAACAGTTCGACTGTTGCATGACATGCAAAAACATTAAAACGAATCAGGAAACAGTTCAAAATGCCTAATTATAATTTATATAGTAGGTTAGGTAATAATTTTGACTGTTTCATGATTTGCAAAAACATTAAAAAGAATCAGGAAACAGTTCAAAATGCCTAATTACAATTTATATAGTAGGTTAGGTAATAATACTTTTTAACAAATGTTTTTAAACCAATCCAATTTGACTATTTAACATGATAGTATAACAACTATATTAATATGTATATATTGTTAGATTTTAACATTAATATTAAGATAGGCTAATTGATAGAGTTAGTCACAACACAAGGAAATTTATACAGTAGACCACACTCTCTTCATTGGTACTTCAAAAAAAATTATAAAAGAGAATGTCAATCTTAAACACATTTTCGAAAACACGCAAGTGTTTATATGACCTTTCAACATATATTTTTGTTCTCAAAGACATAGGTATATGCCATTTACACGTGTTGTGAAAAAAAAATCAAAGTACTGAAAGTACTACTACGAGTTGATGGTATTGATTATATAATCTTTAAATGAGTTGAGGTCTCTAGTCCATATATGGAATATATGATATTGTTGAAATTATGTGCATTGATGAAAACTATCACTTTAAATTTTTTTTTTTTTTTTTTGAGAGAGAGAGAAATAAAATTATATTTTATTTACACCTTTTCCATCATGTATTTTTAACATGTATATTTATTTTTTTTTAATATCTACTGGAATGTATAATAATTTATCACAAATCAAACCTTTAAACATAGAAAACAAATAATACTAAGTTCGTTTTGGGATTTTTCGTAAAATGACAATTTAGCTTGCATTTAAAGTAATTTGTATTTTTACAAAATATTAAAGGATACCATCATTGAAATGGTCACAGAGCACAGACTATCATTATTAAAACTACCGAGAACAGTTTTTGGACACTCGATATCATTTGACAGAAATATTATTATATATCAAGTGACTAGAAATTTCAAATAGAGAAAAATGGCAGAACTGTTGTAAAATCATATTACAGAATTAAAACAACTAAGTAGACAAAAAACAAGAAAAAGCTTTAAACACACATAAACCAAACTAATAGGCCAAACCTACAATAGTATTACAAGTAGGGAATTATTATTATTTACAAATAGCGCAGATTGAATTATTTCATTTACATGCTCATTAAATATTTTCACTGCTTTCTTCAATTTACAAACAATTTAAAATTTTCAATGCACATCAATATGTTCCAATTCTCGTGATTAAGCCAGTCTTAACATTGATATCTTTTACTTTCATTTATATGTATATTACATAATTCAATTTTCTTGATTTAGTCACTATTGAAATTTAACTCCTTGTCTTTCAAAATTTACATGCACATTTGATATTTCAATTCTCCTGATTTAGCCACTCTTAAAATTCAACCCCCTGTCTTTTATGATCATTGATATGCACAATAAATATTTTAGTTCTCTTGATAAGCCTACTCTTGAAATTGAACTTCCTGACATTTAACTGAAATGGGCATTTTATATGTCATTTCGTTTGGTTTAGTCACTTTTGAAATATAACTACTTGACTTTAATTAATATGCACATTTTATATATCATTTCTCTCGGTTTAGCCTTTTTTAAAATTCAACTACTTGACTTTCATTGATACAAGTATGCATGTTAAAAATTTCAATTCTTTCGGCTTTTCGACTGAAGACTTTAAATTTACCACAATGGCATGCTATTGACTATTTACATGATCTATAAACTCATGAATTAATTTGATTTCTTGATCTCTTCACATATATAAATATGCATTTCACATTTAATTTATCAATAATTCCCCTCTTTTTTTATTTATTGCATTCAGTACTACTAATTCACTTTATAACATGGTCAGCATCTGATAGCAAAACACAGCTGGACATATTAAAGGAAACCACTTTCCAGTGTAGTGCCGACAATTAATGAGATAAGAATCACAGGCGTGTTAAGTGACCATTGCTGTATTTAAAGCTTGCTGTGAAACAGATCTAGAATGTGGAAGACAGTGTTTTTAACAGGGAAAAAGAAATTGGAGCACAAAGTTGTCTGCTGCTGAAAAAATCTAACCCTTGAAGCAATCGAAATCTTTTATTGTTTGCACAAGAAATAAGAACTTTAATTTCAAAATTGTTTTTACTGGCGCAGCTCATTTCTTCCGTTTGAGATAAGTAGTTGATTTACATCGACCTTCTGTACTGCAAACTTCTCGCTTTGTTTACAAACATAGACAGTGTTCTCTGTGTTGAACGATTCATCACTAACGCGGGAAAACTGCTCTGTTCATTAGCATAACAGCGCAAGAAGTTTATTTATATACCTCTAGCACGTCAATCTTTTAAAAATAACCTAGTTTGTACAATGTTCAACTTTGTGAATTTTCTTTTAAAATCTGTTTTCAAAATACTTCTTATTATATAAAACATTTATTGATTTATAAATCAAAATTTTGATTGCACGACATGTCACTTTTGTTGACCGCATGTCCCTAACACTATTTTCTTTTGCGGATGGACACAAATTCCAATAAAATTAATAATAAATATTCATGTTTATAAACACTTCAAAGCATATCAGGAAACATATTCTTGTTCTGTAGATTATGAAAATTGTAAATAAACCAATATTATACAAGAATCCGTACACAAAATACTCAGATGAAAGTGTGATTAGTCTCGATACATTGGGGAATCCCTTACAAGTCACATAACATGAGTTGATACCATCAACTCGTAAAAAAAAAGACCCAACAATGAAGGTATCAAATCAGATCTTTTGATCTACTCACATACTGTTTTTCATAGTTCTAAATATGATTATACATGTACAATGAGACCGCCAGCTGACGGTCCATAATTAGGAAATGCCAGAAATATGCAGGAAATGGTAGGAGCTGAAAACAAGTTTCTTTCACTCAATAAAAAATCCTTCAGTTATGACAATAGTACAAAAGAATTACATAGATATTGACTGAAAACAACAATATTATGTGTGGATATTAGCACATAACAAAGTAATTTCGTCTATATATTTGGGGCTTTATTAAAACACACCCACATAAACAAACAGAGATAATAAAAATCTCAACGCGACAGCTGTGAGTCTAAAAAAAAAAGAGAGAAGTTAATACTCATATTTTACCAAATAAAGATTAAATCCCGCAAAATGGTATTGTATGCAATAATTAGTCGTTTTGGAAGATTCATGTATTATGCATGCATCTTGACAATTCACATGTATACATGTGATTTAGTTTCGACCATTCTCTCTCTCTAGTTTGTTGAGTATTATGACGTCATGAATTACAATATTTTAATGTTTGGATATGACGTCACAATTATCGCACTTCAGCATTAAACACAGGAAAACCTATCAGCGTGTAAAGAAAAAAAATTATTTGTAAAATTCGTATACATGCATTTATATATCTATGTTAGTTTAAGAGTTGTAAAATGTGTGTATATCTAAAAACAGTACATACGAATTTTGTTCAACTGAAGTATTTTTTTATACTCCGGGAGCATATAAGCTCTTTGCACAAACCAATGAAATGCATTTATCAGCTGTTTATACTGATTTAGAAGAAAAAGGGGGAGATCTTCTCACAGTAGTTGTTAAAATACATGCAAATTTATTTGTATGCATATAATATATCCTTCAGTATGATAGGATTTCGAATTCCCTCTCGATCTGCATGATTATTGAGTTTATGAAAATGAAGTTAGATCCACCACTTTACTTACAATTTCTGACGTAGCATGACATTGCACCTATCTACAAAAGGTCACTGTCGAGGTTTTTGACCTCTTAAAGCATGTTTGTTTGTTGATCTTATATTCTGCCATCATGAATTTATTTATCGATCTGTTGAATGCATCGTATTTCTTAAGCTTTTTGGATATAATAACAGTCCCACCAGTGCAGTAATTTTCATTTAAATTTCGATATCAAATCAGCTGTTGCATGTTCGGTATTACGTGACACTTTTCTAATTTTAGTTGTTTACTTTTTGTAACGAGCGCCGACCTCTCCGAGGGGGATATGAAAGACGTAAAATGATTGGTTCGGCAATTTGACCTATATTTTAGGTAAGTTGTTTACAGGTTACAGATATTTTTTTGATTTTCTTCTTATTTACGCATTTCATATATAAATTTTAAATTGAAAATGATATATATCAGTGGCCTAAATAAGTAAAATTCCTAACTTTCAATTTTTATGTCGTACTTTTACCAAAAATGCTTGCAAAAGTATATGACACCAGCTGAATTGCAATATTTTCGGACCAATCAATTCCCTTGTTAGAAAAATTACGTCGAATTTGGGTCAGTGCTGGTTGTGAATAATTGGGTCACTCAGTCATGGAGAGTTCACATACACGAGATAATTGACCGACTGTCTAAATTGAAGTGAGGACCCGGGGACGTAAACACCCTTGTCTCAAGGTTTCCCTACCCACGGTGACCCAGGTAAGTTTGCGTAAATGTTGGTTTGAAATTGACAGAGGAACCGGCATTTTACTGGGGGAAATTTTGGTGATCTGGACAAAAAAATAATAAAATAACTTGTAAGAGATGGATGGTTGAGAGTGTGTTTCACGTCTAATCATGTTCAGTGTTAATTACGGACAACAAAGAAAATTGTGTTTATTTTGTTCGAACAGTTGAAGTCATCCAGAGACCGAGTTTGTTCTAAATCAAGGGTCATAATTCGCCGGTAGATATGTGCATGTAGACATGATGACATTATTACAAACAGTCCTACTGAGTATGTAACAATGTTGCAGTACAATTGCAGTGATTGTTGTTCTGCGCAAAATTTTATTTAAAAATAAGTTAAAATATTTCAACATATGTGTGTATTTCTGAACATATGTCTCTAATTTTTCGAAATTACAGGGTGAGGTTTACATTACATAATTTTGCAGCGGGTGTTAATATGATGTAATGACATGCTGACCTGTGCAAAAATGTCAAAGGAAGTGTTTTAATTAGATTGTGAAAACAGAGCACAGTTTACTAGCTTTTTTCTGTTTTTTTTTTTTTTAAATATTGATTGATATGAATCACGGAATAATTTTATATTCATACTGTAAAAGTATATACATGGTAAAATTTATTCCTAGCAACTTTAAATGACTCTAGAAAAAAAAAAGTGTTCTTAACTTCTGATCAGTTCATCTGACTGAAACTTACCACACACATTTATCACTTCTCAAGCAAATATGCCTCTAAATTATAGGTCTATGTTTGACCAAAATAGAAACATTTGGGGAAAACAGTAACAAAAGGGATGAGTCATAGAAAGGTTTGCAAGTCAAGAAATTTATGTGATATTGTACATGACTTAACAAGTAAATGTGAAAACAATAATGTTAACCTTTCACTACTATAATAAGCTAGCTTTTGTGCTGAATCGTGGTTTAAAATATATATCTTTTATTTCAAATCTTAAAGTCACAAAGGGAATATTCTCCCTTTTTAATACCAGCATACTTTGCATAATAGAACATTTCTCAAACTTTACTGCACAGTAGCAATTGTGTCTTTCAAATACAAACAAAGAAAGGTATTCAACAAATTGTCAGTTTTGACCAGTTTTTAAATCGATTCAAAATTAGCTCAAAATCATAGCCCTCCCCTCTCGAAATAAAAAGTGAAAGTAATGCTAAAATCTTTTTTCTTGCAAAATTTATTCACTGTTTTACATTTGATATAGGTATTTTGGAGAGAAAATATTGATCAATTGTGCTTAAAGGAAAAAAAAACAATGGTATATATAAGTGTGCTACTTTTAGTAGGAATGCCTAGAAATTACTTCAAAAGTAACCCCTCATTTTACTCACTGCACAATATATTTATTACATATATATATATATATATATATATATATATATATATATATATCTATATATATATATATATATATATATATATATATATATATATATTTTGAAATAACATGTTTATAAGAAAACTGTTAACTTTATAGGAGAAAAAAAGAACATTGTATACTGTCTCACTTTTCAATTTGGTTGTTTCATCACCATCACATCTTAAATTGGCATATAGTGAAGCCAAATGAAAAGGAGTAACTTATAACCAACCAGTATAGTATCTGTCTAGTCTGTACATGTACACACATTTTTGATCGTCTGTGAATTAATGATACTGTAGATTCCTAAATATACAAATGGAATTAATTATCACGTAATTTCGCGAGAAGCACAACTCGTGAAATAAAATTGCTCACTTGTTTTTTTATAGTGCTGAAATCAATGTAAAATCTCTTGATTAACCGTCCAATCACAAATTGTTGCTCTCACGATTTGACGTTAAAGAGCAATTTCATGATAATAAGTACTCGCAAAAAATAAGGAATCTATAGTACCCTATTTAAAATCTTTATTTCTTATAAGCATAAAACTAATATTTTCCTGAATTTCCTAGATTCTTTATAGATAACTTTGAGTTTCTACATTCTTAAGGCTAGATTTTTAAAACTAAATTTGCATGTTATCCCAGATGTGTTGAATTGCCTGTTCTTATTCATGTACTTGAAAAATGTACTGGCTTTTGGTGAATGTGCGAGTTTTTGATTGACCATTATGACATGTACATCATTACCTACTCTTCACAGATACGGGAAGTCATTAGGCTTTTCTATTTTAAAGAAGGTTTCATTATTCTAAGAAAAAGAAACCATATAGAGACTTTTTGATACATTGATCATGATAGTTCCACAAATGTCAAGGTTTAGCCAGGCAATTTAACTTAATTTTGAGATTTTCCCCTTAATTTGGAAAAAAAAAAACCTGGCGCAGTTGGTGGATTTCATTTTTTTTTTAATGTAAAAAATACCTATATCACATTCTTTTAAAGAAAGAAAAAAATTTTCATATTGTAAAAGTGTGAGTAAACAAATCAATCTTTTCAGCTTTAATTATATAATTTTACAATACTAATGCATGTACATGATGTATATATTATTCTGTTTCTTTGTATGATATATACAAATATTTGAACCCATTTTAAAACCAAAATTAAAAAAAAGAACTAAAGAGGAACAATCTAAGATGGAGGGTGAGGAAAAATATAAAAGAAAATTACTTATGTGGTCTTGACTGTTGGAAAACATATAACATCCTTATTGTGAGTTCACCAATAAAATGTGAAACTGAAACTGAATTTTTAACTTGTGCAATCTTAAGGGGGTTCTTAAATTTTAAATAAAGCAGAATCTATTTTTTAACAAGTATTGATACAGTGGATAGCCAAATTGCATAGGTCAAAGGTTTGGACATTGGGCTTAAAAAGAGAAGACCAAATACTTTCCAAGAAAAAGAAGATATTGTTTTTGAGAGCTCACAGACCAAAATGTGAAACTGTAACTGAATTTTTAACTCTTACAGTGAAACGCATTGAAGCTTGGTGATTGCTATAGTTTGTGCCGTGAGAAAGTGATGTAACAGTTGTTTTGGTTTTGCTTGCATGTTGTTGAATGTTTAAGCCAATCATATGTACATAAAAGACTTCGACAATTGCTAATCTGAGATAAGCAGATTTACTGTACTGAAATCATAACCCCATAAGAACAGTTTGGGGGGGGGGGGGTTAATATGTGTGTGCTTGAGTTGAAAATGTCATGAACAGATGTTATTATTGAGGGAGGACAACCAAAGATTAGATATATAGATATATTATTAACAGAGTTATTGGGTGGGGGGCATCGTCGCAAACCACAGCCAAAATATACGATCCTCTCCCATTCTGGCCGTGGTTGAACGAGAAGAGAATATTTTGCAGCTCATTAAAATATTGACCAATTCGAGTAAAGCATAGTCGGATAATGAACTTTGATGCGACCTTTCAATACCCAATCACAGTATATGAAACATTTCTTGTATACTGTTGATGTCAGTTGTTGATTTCAATTGCGTTGGAAACAAATATTGTCATTGGCTGAACATAGAGGCGTAAATTTTCATGATTACGACAATTTCTGTGATCAAGCAGCCACGGGTAGGAGAGAGCTATATACAGACTCAGAACGTGGTTTGAGATGATGGGGGGGAGGGATGCACCCCTTTTCCCCATGTAGTGGTTCTGACTGGGTTGTTATTTCAGTTCTGAACATAAAACTAGATCTAAAATTTAATAGTAGCACTCACTGAAGTACAACAATTATTAAGAGAGAAGTTTTTTTTTTTTTTTTTAAAAAAAATGGATATATTATAAATTCAAAACAAACATTTTGGTATGGTCAAAAGTGCATTATCTAGTAAAAGAATTTTTCACATTCAACAAATTTCTTTTAGAAATATTTTTAAAAAAAATGTTATTGGTTGTTTGTTACATCACAGCATATGATTGGTGGGCGGAGCCTAAACTTTCAAGGGCAAGCAAATCCAAAACAAATGTTACGTCACTCCTTATGACACAAACTAGCCATCCCCAAGCTTCAATGCATTTCACTGTATGCAATCTCAAGAAGTTTTTTCAAGTGACATCTTTGCAAAGAGAAGACCAAGTAATTCGGAAACCACAATCTTTTTTAATCGATCCTCATTAAGTAACTTCCTCCCAAATCAAATTTGATTGAATTTATTTCTATCCCTTTAAATTAATATTAAATTGTTAAGAAAAGAATGATTCTTTTTATATCTAGCAAGTAACTGATTTGTAATTTCAGGTGAATCAGAAAAAAAAGAAAAGAAAAAAAAACGGTCTAGGATGTAAAATTTCAACAAATTCATAAACAATTCCGCTTATTGTGTATATATTATGCATCCCTGGGCTAAACTTGCACCCATGATGCCCATGTCATTAGGTCATGAGAACGACTGAGTAGGCAGAGCAGATGTGTTCCACTATGACGCAACGTATGAAAGAAAATTCTGGAGAAAATAGACTTATTTATTTAATGTTATGGTTCAACTACCGTTATTTTATTTTATTCAGGTCAAGTATATTGTGCATTTGTGTTGTGTAAATGTCAAATTTATGATCTTCAAAATATTTTTGAAGAATGCAATGGTAATTGGATAAATTTGAGGACAAGGTGAACTTATGAATGAGAAAATATTAATTTTGTAACTAAACCTCCCCAGTGATTGTGAAAAAAAGGAACCAAGAATTGATTTTGCAGGGGATGATAAAACACTAAAAAAAAAAAAAAACATGGAAATTGCTAAGAATAACTGAAGTCATCAGTCAATCATAGGTGTTTAGATAAATAAACAAAATCCAGCCATAATTCATGGTTGGTTGACGGTCCAAATCGTCTTAGTCACAGGGGTCACTGACTTAGATATTTCAATTGGTGCCTATATATATATAAGGTATTGAATGCTGACAATCTTTACAGAAATATTTCTGCTAAAAGCATCAGAACTTAAAGGTCAAAGATACTAAAGGTTAACACCCAGAAATATGCAGGTTGCCAGATCAAATTCATGGCTCTTGACATGTGATAATATAAATGTGATAATTGAAATGGTAGTTTTTCATTTATTCAACAACCAGGGAGAGAAAAAAAGCAATATTTTTACAGACAGAGATGTTTATGTTATTGTATTGACTAAGGAGCAAAATCAAAAGATCAGTGTCATATAAAAACTTAATTCAAATAGGGGGAGGGGGTTAAGAATACCAAAGGTTTTTGTTGTTCAACCTCACTTACAAAAAAAAAAAGTACATGTTGTACATGAGGCTTTATGTTATTGGTATTTGAAATGATTCTTTATGAATAAACAAAGAAAACATGTTATTGACAATGTTATTAAATACTAGTATTTGTTTAATAATCAAATTTAAATCAACATTCATTAAATGAAGTTTGGGGGGGAGGGGGTCTTGATGAAAACTATGTGAATTTATTTATTTATCTTTTTTTATTGAGGCTTTAGATTTTCCTTCTCTGAGTTCTTACTTATCAGGGAGGTGGGTCTGGCCAAAACCTGTTGAAATGTTTTACCCTTTCCTTGGAACTTTTGATCTTTTTACTGAATAGCTGTTGTCTGCATGATAAAACAACAAATAAACAGAGTTTTGTGGGTTATGGTATGGTAAATTCATTGAATTTTTTTTTTCAAGACTCCAGCAAAACTCAAAAGAATAACATTTAAGACCATGTTGGCAACAATAACGAGCATTTCTGAAAGATTGGATGGAAGTCTATTTCTTTTTCCTGAAGACATGCCCATCCTCTTTAAATTAACAGACACAAAATGATTTTTTTCACCATGTTTTTCCTGGAAAAAAAGTGATTTCTTCTGTTGAGAGACTAAACAATGAAGAGGCAATGAACTTTTATCTTGCTCCCATGCACTTTTAACATGCTTAAAGTGTACATTGTTTAAATTGTGGTTTAAAGATTCTACTTTTTTTTTTTTTTTTTTTTGAGACGTTTAATCCTAGATGACGGACGACAGAATGGATTAAATAGGCAACATGCCTTATGTACATGATCAATTCAAAAATTACGTAATGCTTTTTCACTGTGTTTAAAAGTATAGTAACCTAGTATACCTAGATAATTTGACCTTGTAGAAATGCAAACAAGATTCCAATTCTGAAATTTATTAGACATGTGCATAAGTATATCCTAAGTCCCACTCCAACAGAATTGCGGGTTGGAGGGTTGCATTTTTTTCCCCCCCTCAAACATGTTAGTGTGTTTTATCTACTTTGTCATAGAAACTTCTCATTTTGCATGTTGGAAGTTTAGTCAAACTTGGTGTAGACAATCAAATTACTTGAAGTTGAGGCCTATTTTTCACTTCCTATTACTAAAGTTTGTGTCTATCTCATGAAAAAAGGTGTAGTGAAAATTGAGTGATCTACAGTAATATTGAAGTAATACTTGAAGTACTTGGTGACAAAACATACCTTCATTTGCTGTATAAGTGATTATTAACATAATGGACTTTTTACAAAAAATCTTTAGCTGTTATCTGTATTTACCTTTTTTTTTTTAATTTTTTTTATTTTTATTTTTTTTTTTTTTCTGGAAACAACTATACAAACATTTTTCAGTTTGTGTATAATTGCAACATATAAATACTTTTTCAATAAACTTTCTCTCTTTCAGCTAAATCTTCATGGCCAGTCAAGTGTACCACAGACATGGATTAAGTTTTGATCCGTAAGTAAAGTTACATGGATATCTCTCATAGATTTATATTTATATGTGGGTTATGAAAGTTGTACTAAAAACAAAGATTTAAAATTTGTTTGAAGATATTCTCGTTGTTTTTCACTTGCTTGCAGACATAGTGCACTTAACCTTTAAAATAAATCTTCATGTCCAGTTAAACAGAACATCTGAAAATCTTAACTAACATTGTAATCACCAATTGCTGTAAAAAGCAGTTGAACACTTTATTGTATCATATGACTCAAAAAATGCAAAATGCTGATTAATTTTGGTACATTGTTCTATACTTAGCATGATACATTGAAAAGCAGAAAAAAATTTATACATTGGTAAATGTCTGTCTTGTGTCTCTCTGTCAACATTATAATTATTAGCAAAATGCCTATCCTCCCACAGTATCACAGTATTTGATGTCGATGAAACAGATTGAATATTGAATGCATCTAAATATATCATTTTGAATTCAGTTTTTAATTTCAATAAAAGATGTTGCCATGTTTACTAAAGATAAAATATTTTATAGAGAGGACTTCTGTAGGGAGTACCTGCTGTCCAATCCTTTTATGGTTCGTTCATTATAAGATATTGTTTAAATGTTCAAATTTCCTGCTCATTTTCCCCATTTAGCTTTATCTTAATTTCAGTGAAACATTTTACAAATATAGACTCTATAATAAAAGTACAAAACAGGTATTAAGTTTCATGATTTGATTCCTGATAGATAGCTTTCCGATACATGTGCACCTGCATTTGCAGTGTACATCTGCTGCCAGAAGGACCCTCATTTACTGACACTGTGCCTTTCTCCATCAACCATGGGTCACGTAATCTGTAATTCATAATAGATTTCATTGCTCTCCTTGATATATGGTTTTTATTCAAAAACAATTATGATGAACCATTTATTGTCAAATCATGATGATTTTATGGAGGCAGCAAGTACTTTTTGGGGGGTGGGGATGGGGGAGAGATTTACATTCTGGCTCATGAGAGGCTTTTTGATTGGTTGATATGATTATTATTGGGTAGGTAAATATTCATGAAAATATTAGAAAATGTTTACAAATCAACTTGCAGGTGAGGATGAAAGGAACACAATATGGTCTGTTGTGGGTTTCTAATGATGCAATATTTTATTAGCAATACCAAAAATTTGATTGGGAATAATTTACAATTTTGTGATTTTTAGTGAAATAACAAATTCTACAAAAAATGATCATGCAAGCCCACTTGTTATCTGTTACACAGTTATCCTATACAGTGTGTATAGACTGGTTTTTAAATTTTGCTGAACATAGTTGTGATGGTCACTTACAAGATGAATTTAATCTCCTTAGAGTAATAGACATAAATTTCAAAGAGGTACTCCTCATATAGTGTATGACTAATATCAAGAAAACCATAAACACAGAACATTTAATGTACCGGTAATTCTTTTATCATTCTTTTATATTGATTGGTTTGAATTAATTGAAACAGTATATTTTTGAAGCGAATTAAATTGGAAGAAAAAATGTCCAATGAAGTCATATATCTTTTTCATCTTTCAAAGAAAGATCAAACCAGTAGAGCTACAGTCTCATTACAGACATGGTTAAACATAGTACAGATCTCTGTTAGCCTTGGACTTTCAGTAGGGCATGGCATTCAAGACACTTGATAATTACTGTCGGTCAAATGGTGATCTAGATTCTCATTGGTAAGAAATTAATAACACCAGCAACTTTTGATGGTTGTTGACAAACAAAGATGACTTAAGCTCCACCTCTTTACAGTAAGAAACACTGTCATTGGTTCCTTGCTACACTCGTTCACGTTTGCCTGAATGTATTCCATGTATATTTCACCCATGAATAAAAAGCTGTGTAAATTTTAGTTTGTCGTCCTATGTAACTTGACCAACTTTCTACTCAAAATTCAAAAAATAATGATCAGACCACGCTATTGTATTATAGACATTAATTTGTAGTTAAATAGTAGCATACAACTTTAGGCAGGAGAAGAAACAAATTTTCGGGGAGGGGGGGGGATATATGTATTAAAATGTTAACTGAGAGATATTTCATATGGTGTTGGTAGATCAACTCTAAATAGATGTTAAATTATGCTTTTTTAGCTCACCTGAGCCGAAGGCTCAAGTGAGCTTTTCTGATCAAAATTTGTCCGTTGTCTGTCGTCGGCGTCGGCGTCGTTGTTGTCGTAAACTTTTCACATTTTCATCTTCTTCTCCAGAACTACTGGGCCAATTTCAATCAAACTTGGCACAAAGTATCCTTGGGTGAAGGGGTTTCAAGTTTGTTCAAATGAAGGGCCACGCCCTCCTCCAAGGGGAGATAATTACGAAATAGCAAAAAATTAATGGCATTATTGAAAAATCTTCTTCTCAAGAACCAGTGGGCCAGGAAAGATGAAACTCATGTGGAATTATTGTCAGGTAGTGTAGATTCAAGTTTGTTCAAATCATGACCCCCGGGGATAGGGTGGGGCCACAATGGACGATCAAAGTTTTACATAGGAATATATAGGAAAAATCTTCAAAAATCTTCTTCTCAAGAACAGCAAAGCTATGATTGGTCATATTTATTTGGAAGCATCCACAGGTGGTGTAGATTCAAGTTTGTACAAATCATGACCCCCGGGGGTAGGGTGGGGCCACAATGGACGATCAATGTTTAACTTAGGTATACATAGGAAAAATCTTCAAAAATCTTCTTCTCAAGAACAGCAAAGCTATGATTGGTCATATTTATTTGGAAGCATCCTCATATAGTGTAGATTCAAGTTTGTACAAATCTTGACCCCCAGGGATAGGGTGGGTCCACAATGGATGATCAAAGTTTTACATAGGAATATATAGGAAAAATCTTCAAAAATCTTCTTCTCAAGAACAGCAAAGCTATGATTGGTCATATTTATTTGGAAGCATCCTCAGGTGGTGTAGATTCAAGTTTGTTCAAATCATGACCCCCGGGGGTAGGGCGGGGCCACAATGAACGATCAAAGTCTTACATAGGAATATATAGGAAAAATCTTTAAAAATCTCAAGAACAGCAGAGCCACGGTTTGTCATATTTATACGGAAGCATCCTCATATAGTGTAGATTCAAGTTTGTTCAAATCATGACCCCCCCCCCCCCCCACTCCCTTTTTAGGGGTAGGTTGGGACCACTTATGCATTTAAGCTTTTCAATACTAAACTGATTTTTCCTTTTTTCCTAGCCACAGTGCTCAGGTGAGCGATGTGGCCCTTGGGCCTCTTGTTTTTTTTTTTTTTTTTTTTGTTTTTTTTTTTTTTTTAAGTTTGATTTTGGGCAGATTAGGAATTTTTTGTTTTCTTTTTAGTCATTATTTGGAGGCTCTCCCCCCTTTTACTTTGAAAAACTTTGCTGCGGGCTTTACTTATATGCAACCTAGGTATTGGAGAATATCTAATCATCCAAATTTACACGTGCTTTGCAGGATCCTAATATGTTCCCAGCTTAAGTGCTTCCAAGCGATGAATTGTTTGTTGCCATCGAAAGAAACATCAAAATTTAAATAAATGTCATAGAAATACAAACTCTTATTTTGGCATGCATATTTTTGCAAACTAGACAACACTCAGAAAGAAATTATCAAACACCCCACAGTTTTGTGTTTTCTCTTCTTTTCTTGCATTTTTGCTACATTATGAATATTGATGAGGTAGCAACCAATGAGATTTTAGGTCACCATTTGAGAGACGTTAATTATGTAGTGTTGAGAATGTCACACCTTACTGAAAGTCCAAGGGTAACAGAGAATTGTACTATTTGCATGTGTTGCAACATTTGTTATATCTCATCTATTTTTTTGATTATTTAAAGGTGAAATGGTTTGACTTGCGGTGTACTGGAAAGCATATACAGACAATTCCTTTCGGCATAATATGACAACAATGGGAAAAGAGGCCAGTTTGGATGGATTAGGTTCAGAAACTCAATATTTTATTTATTTATTTGTTTAAAATTTCAAGTCACGTGAATCACTCAGGTGACCTGTTGCTATTTGTTTTTGTCCTTTGTCACAAAGTGTTCATATAGCTTCTCCTGTGAACTGTTGAACCAGTTAAAAATTTGCTACATAGCCTTCATGAGTGAAGGGGAACAAAATCTGAGAATATAATAGTCCCAGCCCCTAAAGTGCCCGAGGGTTTGGGACAGAAACATGCAAATTTAATTATACTAGCAATCTCAAGAGCAAATTTTATCTGATAATTTTCTTGACTCCTGAAACACTGAGCTTGCAATCCATTTTGAGAATGCAACAAACTCTTTACCAAAATTTTTACTGAAATATATGTCCCAGGCCATCATGTAGAATTAAGGCCTTAGGTTGATGTTCATGTTTCTTTCATGTTTACCACTCAGACCATTTGAGGATTATATTGAATTATCTATTCTAGCAATTAAAACTGAGAAATTTATATCCTCGGGATCTGTTCTTCAAGCCCCAGGGTGACACTTGGTGTAGACAACTTGAGAGTTTCTACTACAATGAGCTCCTGTGAAATACAGTTAAACTTCGTTATCTCGAAGTTGACGGGACCGTTGATGAACTTCGAGATATCCGGGGGTTCAACATATCGAGGGTTATAACTCAAATGAACTTCAAATAAACTTAGCGCGGTGAACTTGTACTTAATAGTAAAAACATGTCAAATTCCTCCTTGTTTGAAATTCTGTATACGATTTCTTTAATATAGTACATGTACATGTATATTTAGCAATAAAAAGATTTTTACATCCTCTTTATAATTCACAAAATTAAACTTTGTTTAATATGCGCTTCTGTATAATCCTTCTACCAACCCAAGCGCTAGCATCGTTCCCCATGTATACATAAGCGGATATCATCTATGCATTTTAAATTTAAAGCTGGTTGCTGTCAGAATGATGAAAATGAAATAGTTACACATTTTTTTATTGGAAAACATGTTCATACATATGTAATCATTTAAAACAAAATTATTTTACCATAATAAAATCAAATGCAAAAGAAGAAACGCGCACTTTTGTCTAACTACAAAACAACGCTGAATCACAAGGCACTAAAGCACAAGTTTTCATGAGGACACACGCTCGTATGATGGTGTGTACTGACGGTTGTAAATTCTGCACACTCATATAGGAAAAATGAATTTTTAATTGCATTAAATTACAGAACTTTGTTTCACTTTGATGTTTATAGTTTTCAGTTTGATATGCATTTAAACTAGAGCAAAGTGCACATATTACATATAGCATTATATAAATAGCAATTATCAAGATAAACGTACCCAGGCAACAAAACAATTAACGTTTCATCCACGTGTAATCATTAGACTAATACATATCACCTTTGGCTTGCATAATTAAAACCAAGGTAAGCCATACATACACCTCATATAATTATCACACTTTTTTCTGTTGATCACAGGAATACAGGTAACCCGTGCATGACAGACAGGTGGATGCTATCAATTGGGCGTTCAGTTAACCTAACGGACTTGATCATTAGTCTGAGAGCGGAAAATTATCCTGACTTCAAGATAACGCATGTGATTTTTATGAATGGGTACACAATTTTACTTTGAGATAACCAGGGTATTCGACATTACCATGTTCGACATAGAGGGGTTTATTTTAATCATTTATATAGCAAATTTTGTCCGGACCGCGGCCTTAGTTCGACATATCCGGGGTGTTCGAGATGTCCGTGTTTGAGATTTCGAAGTTTAGCTGTATTTGAAATTTGTAGTGTCTGGAACAATGTGTTTGTGTCCTAGGTCTGTCATTTGCCTATTCTGATCATGTATAGAATGATATAGAAACTTAGAAAGTGCAAATAATCTTATAAATTCTTTCGAACATAGTTGGCATGGCAAAGATTGGCAATGTGCCCGTACCAAAACTGTGAAATTCTTGTCTTGGATGAGGGATTAAATCATAGTTGGGTGGGACTAATGTATAAATAAAAAGAAATTAACCCCCCCCCCCCCAACTTGCTCCCATCCTTTTGGGAAAAACGTGTACGTATGCCTGACCCAGATAAGATGAGATTAGGAGTCTAAAAATGTCTTAGACTATAGGTCTGTTCATTTACAGTGTACAATCCACTGGGTGATAATAAGAAATGGAGAAATATTAGATGCTCATACTTATACAAAGTGATAATATGTCCATAGGTGTGTCAAAGCCATGACCTGAAGTGATTTAGTACTTTAAATCAAGGTCAGGTCGTTGCAAGGAAAAGTAAGTGATTTGATCTTCATTAGCCAGTGGAAGACTAACATTAGAGGTGTATTGTGAATAACTAGAGGGGCATATTGGTTATAGAGGAGGTACAATATATCTTACAGAATATGTGGAAGATACTCGGGTGACCATTAGAGCCTCTTTCTTGGTTTTTTTTTTTTGCTCACCTGAGCCAAAGGCTCAGTTGAACTTTTCTGATTGAAGAGTGTCCATTGTTGTCTGTCTTTTGTGAGTAGTGTGTTATCTTCTCACATTTTCAATTTGGTCTTCAGAACAATTGCTGCTGCAATTTCAACCAAACCTGCCACAAAGCAAGTGTGGGTGAAGGGAATTCAAGGATTTTCAAATGAAGAGCCACACCCTCTTTCAGGGGAGATAATTAAGAAATAGTGAAAATTTGGTAGTCATTTTAAAAAAAAATTCATAAGAACCACTGGGTCAGAAAAGACACAACTTAATTAAGTAAAAGCTTTCTTATAAAGTGTAGATTCAGTTTTGTTCAATAGATGGTCCCTCAGACTAGTATTGGTCTGCAAATGGAGGTCACAGTTATGTTTATAAATACAAAGAAAATATCTTTCAGAATCTTCTTCCCAAGTGCAATAGAGCCACAATAAGCCATACTTGATATGCAAGCATTCTCATGTAATGTGGATTCAAGTTTGTTCAAATCATGACCCCCAAGCTAGGTTGATGCCACAAGAGTAACATTTTTATAAAGAAAAAATCTAAAAAAAATTCTCCTCAAGTACTGCAGGGCCACAAGTCACATTAATATATTAGCATCTTCACTTAGTGTAGAATCTGGTTGGTACAAACCATGAACCCTGAGGCTAGGATGGAGCCACAATAGGGATTGAAGTTTTGGAAAATAGATTCACAAGATTCATAAAATATTCTACATTTAATAAAGGATTTCTGGCATAAGTTCGGAACATTAACATGCCCAGGCTTATGTTCTTTGATGCAAACAACCACCATTAGATTTTATTTTTCTGAGACTTAACAATGTTTTTAGCACTCCTACTCTAAGCTTTTAAGTTATATTGTTTGGTGCTCACATGGTATGCTTACATCATGTGACAGTTATAACTTTAAAGATTAATGGCAATACATGTATAATATCATAGAACTTTATGTATCAATTCAGTAAAATCAGAAGGAAACAAGAATTCACACTTCAGGTTATAATAACAATATGTAGCGGTACACGTTTTGGCAAGGAGCATTCATTATGACTTGGAAATAGGCATCTTGATACACAATATGACTGCTTTGTTGTTAACTTATTTGCCATCAAATCAATTGATAAATCAAGAAATAGGATATTCTAATAGAGACTATATAATTATGCTGTAAAATTTAGCTCAATAATTATCTATCTAGGGTAAAAACTAGATTCTGAGATTTTCAAATTTATTTTTACTCAATATTCATTACTAGCTAATTGACATTACAGAAAATAATATCGTTTAACCTAACTAAAGTATGGAATAACCCATCTTGAAATCACCTACTGTTCAATTTTAAAGGTTGATGACATTGGAAACAATGACAAAATTGATGAGTGACTTACATTTGTTAAGTGACTTTCTAGAAAATCCTTAAATTTTCATAACATCAATGTATATTTTACTATATACAATATTTTCTAGAGTTGTGCATATGATATTGAAGTGCATGTTGTGGAATTCCAATGTCAGAGTTTAAAGAATGCAGTAAATCATTACCCACTTGTTATATTTAATGCATTTTTTGTGCAATTTTGGGTCCTATTATTTAAGTTCCTAGTCTTATACATGTATACTGTAAAGGTACTTTTTTCCACGGGGTCATAATTCTGCAGAATTGCTATTTCTGTCCAATCGACTGGTAGAAAATTGGATTTCTTGGACTGCCCTTGTATGTCTTAAAGGAAATTTGTGTACATTGTGACAAATTTCTGTGGAAAATGTGTGCAGAAAATTAAATCCAATAAGGGGAAAAATACATAGATCTACAGTTAATGTATGGATTTAATTTGAACTTGAATTAATGAAGTCTAGTTACTGAGTGTAAATGAAAATTTTTAGGATAAATACATAAAAATATGATTTCATGAGCTTGACCACAAAGACTTCGTTAGTTTTTCAAACACCTGGTTGCAGCCTTCTAGTGTCAGTCTTCTGTCTTTGTAATGATAGCCGTAAAGATGAATTGCAAATGAAAACAAATCCGCAATGTACAGTAAGATGTAATTAAAAGTTATTTTGAAGTGCATCTTATTATATAGTAATAAGCTATCTCTCTTACCATGCCTTTTTCCTGTAAAAGATAAAAGTTGAAAATTAATTGGGAGAAAAATCAAATTTCCAAATAACAGCTGCATTTTTCCACGGTTTAGAATTTGAGATGTATTCCCAACTTTTTTGAATAGAACTCAAGAATGACCTGTTAGAAATTAGACAATATTGATATGAGACCAGATTCCTTGTATTATACAAGCCAGTTGGTGTGAGTTACATAAATATGCTTATAATATGCTTTCAATAGAAAAAATTCATGTCTGACTATGTTTTCGGTCAAAAAGTTGTTGTCATTGATGTTTCGTTGCCATGGAAATTCATTATCATTGTCCCAATTTTTTTCCTTGCCTAACGTCATATTCATTAGCAGTCTTATTATCACCTAGGAAATCTTACCACCTCATTTCTGTAGACTGGAGACTATTGTGTACCACGACTACCATTCTGCTACCTGTGTGTATATTTTGCCCAAGTGTTGATGAGCAAAAAAATGTCATTATTTTGGAGTGCATAATAAGTTTTTGAAATTTGGTAGAACAGAAAGTGTAGTGAAAATGTTCAATTTAATCAAACTTTTGAATCAGATGAGAGGATTAGGGAAATGCAGTGAAGAATCAGGTAAAATCAATTTTTTACAAGATTTCAAACATGGACTTGTCAAAACAATACTTTCATATACATGTTGAATTTGAGAAGTTGTTAGAAAAGCTAAAAAAATCTGTCAAATGTTTTTCAAAAAGGATTTTTTTTTAATGTGGTATACATTTGCCTATACATTTGAAAAAAAAATGTTTAGAATTCTGCTTTTCTTTGTTTGATAGAACAGTGCGTCACACGTTCAGGTTCTGTGATGTCAAAGAATACAAATGATATACTTTTCAACTTTTGTTCAGGAAGAATCACCAGATCCTATCATTGGGTTGTATTTTGACCAAAACATAAGGCCTTTGTTTTTAGACATGTGCTAAATATGACTGCAGAATATTCCGTCTACCTGATCAATACATAAAGGTTGACCAGCCGATGGGGATGCTTACTCCTCCTAAAATCCCTCCTCTGGAGTTTGTGGGGTCATTGTTTCATGCCCTGTTCACAGATTTGTATTGTTTGTAGTTGTTTTGTTTAGTCTGTTTTTTTTTTAAGATCTATCACTGTTCATTATCTTCACCATTTTCATATCTTCTCAATAACGAAATGACTATTACCTTTAATTTTAAATTAATATCAAGCACTCCCACATGTTGTAGATTTTAGTGTTTTTAAAACATAACCCCAAGGATTAGGATTCTACCTTAATTTGGGGTCAAAAGGTTTATGTGTATGTGTAGGGAAAATTGTGAAAAGCCTGGAGATCAGCAGGGGTACAGCTGTCAAAATCATTTAATCACCAAAAAAAAAAAAGTTCCATCCACAAATGCTGAATCAATCAATATGGTACTCCAAATGTTTATGTTATGATGCAAGAAAATGGCTTAATGTTTTGTGAATTTGGAGAAAAAATTATAAAATAAGCATATGGTAATCACTTCTAGCTTTGAATGGTATGTCTATCAATTTGTGTATGGTCATGTCTTTCAAAGCCGTGAAGCCTAGGCCAATCAAACTTAGTCATTTGATGCATCTCAAGGTAGGATGTGTGTCATGTCCTAAAAGTAAGCCATGGCACCCTCATATAGTCAAATAATGTTCAAATCATATTTATACCCCACGCAACAAGTTGCGGGGGGTATAATGTTTTTGACCCGTCTGTCAGTCAGTCAGTCAGTCAGTGTGTCAGTCAGTCCGTCAGTCCTGTTTTTTTGTCAGCGCAACTCCTCATAAACCGCTGCACAGAATTTGGTCAAACTTTGCAGATATTTAGGACACAATGTGTTGATGTGCATATTACCAGGAAATTCCGATTATTTTATTTTTACTGGGAATTTCGGCACTTTTCAACTTAGATTTTTGGCCATATCTTGAATATAGAGATGAACAGTTTGTCAGCGCAACTCCTCTTAAAGCGCTGCACAGAATTTGGTCAAACCTTGCAGATATATTTAGTACACAGTGTGTAGCTTGTAAAAATTTAAATAAATACTAAACAAGCTTAATTGGACTAAAATAAATGCATATTCTAAAATATATTAATCCACATTTGATTGCCAAACTAAATTCATAATGTGTAGACCTTATATATAGCTGTAGGGAGCACATTTGTACAGTAATGTCCTAGAATGAAGGGTCCAGCCCCTCGAAAATATCAAAAGTTCAACGATATCCGCTTTACTATAAATTCTGAATTTTTAAACACGTGTAGCTATTATTCCTACTATTCTGAAAAGTGCTGGGAGCTGGTTGTGCATTGTTTATTTATTCCGTAATGTAACATTATTCCAGTGCGTATTACATCTATGTCTGGAGTTTATAGAAAGACGGTTAAATTTTACACAATTCCCAAGCATGAGGAAGTTGCTCCCAGCACTTTTCATGTTAAGAAATTTGTCTTAAACAAAACAGAATAAATTTTATAGGGGAAAGATACCCGTATATTGTTGAACTTTTAGGATCTTTGTAGTAGTACATATATGTTCTAATTTTAAACCTGTCACGTGACAAACAGCTGATGTAAGCGATGTCGCTTTGGCCGAACTCGGCAGAGACCCGATATATACAAGTGCAAACACCACAATGCACATTCATAAAAAATTTTGATGTTAAAAAAAAATTAAAATTCTATTCATTTTCTCTGAATATATATAAGGCGTATATTTCATGGGCGTCCTTAACCTAGCTGCGTTTCAAACTTTGTCACTTCCCTTGATGCATCTTGGGAATGTGTGTAGAGGGGGGGGGGGGGTTAGAAAGATATGGATTGGCCTAATAGAAGGTTATGTCAACTTGATTTTGGAATTTTATGGCTATACATAGTCAAATCATGTCTGGATCATATTTTGAGCAGGTAAAACCTAGAATCATCAAATTTGTACAGGTGCTGGGTGGGGGGGTGCTTAGAAGTTGGTCACTTGGTGACAACATTTTTTAAATACTGGAGACGTAATTTTCAGCATGATTGAGATTATTTTATGCTAGGTACATAGTCAGAGATTTTCAGAGGAAATTCATTAACAGCGTACTTTAATTGCATTTAAGACTTTCCATTGCAAATCAGGAAATCGGCATAATTTTCTACCTGCAGATGGAACAGAAATTGTGATTCTGCGGAATTATGACCTGTTGAAAAAATACATTTATAGTATATGCATGGCCTTGCATTTCAAATCATGGCTAGGTAATATCTTACTAACTGTGAGATTTAGGACTTTCAATTTGGTCAGTTGATGCATCTTGAGGAGGTGTGTTTGCAACCTGTGAGTAGATTATGGTGACCTCATTTTGGAATTTTACTGCTATACAAAGTCAAAATATGTCTGGATCTTGTTTTGCTCACTGATACATAGAGCCAATAATTCTTGTGAGTGGATGCACCTTTAGGGGAGGTATGTCACGATCCAAAAGTAGGTCATTGGGACCTCATTTTGGAATTCTATAGCTATGTGTAAAAGTCACATGATGTCAGGATAATATTGTGCAGATTGTGAGATATAGAATCATCAAAGCCTGTCAGTTGATGCACCTCTGGGGAATGAGTTTTATGACCAAAAGTCAAGTTAAAGCATTTGTATAGTGTGCCGAGACTATGCCAAGCCAATGGTTTACAGGAAATGGATGAATCGGCATAACACATTGTGTCATGAACCACACTTGACCTTTACCTTTGACCTGAAAGACAAATATTAGCATTTGGCAGAGGGTATATGAAAGACAGTGAGTCTGACTTAATTTTGTTGGTCTTAGAATGTTATAGTTATCACTCTTGGCAAAATGAACTGTGAAAGAGTAACCATTCTTGAGTTGTTTTTGAAAAAAAGTCCTGAACTACATTCTTGGTATTAGAAATAACTGCTCCTTTGGTTTAAATCTGCTTTTAGATTACAAAAATATGAATTCCATTACTACATGTATTGGAAGAATCAAACTAGCTAGAATATGTTCAACTGATTTAAGAAATATTCTACTGGTCGGTATCTGAGAAAATTTTATATAGAGTAATAATTTTTCTGTTGTAGAGTTTGACGGGGACACTGTGCTATGTCGAGTTTGTGGAGACAAAGCTAGTGGATTTCACTATGGCGTTCACGCCTGCGAAGGATGCAAGGTGGGTGTCCGGTACTGAAATGTCAAGGTCATTTCCTGTAAACTTACCTGTATGTGAAATTTCAATGCTTTGCAAATAGAATGGAATAGAATTCTACAAAGTGTCTGACTTTCTGGAGATACTTCATATGTAGATAATGTAATACTAATTGCAGCATTGCAGTGTTTCAGAAATTTTATCAGTAGATTTTTAGAAACTTCCATCCATCAGCGATGTACATGTACCAACTGTATATGTGATTTATCTCTTATTTATACAAGTATTGATTTCAAAGATTAAGTTCCATTTTCACAGAAATTGTCCCCTGTGAGTAATCCACATAGGTTTATTCTGTATTGAATGCGATATTTTAATAAACTTTTCTTAAAAATTATTAAAACCAAGCAATTAGTTCTAGGAATATATATATTTGGCCTCTGACTGAAATGTCAATGCACTAGAAAATTTCATTTGCCTTACATCTATATTTCTGTGGACAGCAAGTAGCTTAAAGTGGCAAGGCAACATGAGTATAATAATATAATCCAAGACTATTACCAGAAAGTAATGCCATTTAAAACAGTATGAAAGTTATATAGTTTTCTTTGGAGTAGTGCTGTGAAAATTAGAGAATGCCCCCTTTCATGGATGAAACAGCAAGAACATGATGATGATTATCGGATATTTGCACAGATTAATGAAGCATGAATCCATGTTGAGGAACAAAAAAACTTATGATAAACTGTTTTAGATCAGACAACTTTGATGCTATTTTGAACAGACTTCATAAAATAAATTAGGTGTAAATCAATAAGCCTCCTTCATGATATGATATGTATTGTATAATTTTGTCATGATACCATTCTTTTGGATACATTTTGCTCAGTAATATTTGGTACTCTGGTATACATGTATAAATATTTTCCAAGGGTTTTCAATTGCAATATTCAGCAAATTTAAGTACATAATTCTAAAGTATTACGTCTATTTTCTCTAAGATTCATTATTCTACAGGGATTTTTCCGTCGCAGTATTCAGCAAAAAATACAATACCGACCATGTTTAAAAAATCAACAGTGCAATATAATGAGGGTGAATAGGAACCGCTGCCAATACTGCAGGTAAGTAAAGCAGGGGGAAGTGGTCAATTTCTGTGTTGAGGGGGGTATGGGGTCAAATGCCATCCATGACAAATTGTACTTGGAAAAAGACACTGTAAAGGACTCAAATTTGATTGTTGCTTAATTTGTGATAACTATATAAGTAACTCTATTTTTCATTTGTATTCAGATTGAAGAAATGCATAGCTGTTGGAATGTCTCGTGATGGTGAGAACAGAATGATTATCATAACCATTTATTTTTTTTCATTTAATTTTACAAATACTTGTACCAGTTAAGTAAATTGCTAGTCTACTTAAAATTTCCCAGCATATAGGCATGTATAGAATACCCCAAATTAATGATATTTACTGAAAACAAAATATTCATTAATTTTGAAATGTAAATGTTTGCATTTTAAATATTTGAAAAAAAAATGATATATAGGAAATGTAAAAGACTTGCATGTACATATTTTTTGAACAGCTGTGCGATTTGGTCGAGTTCCAAAGAAGGAAAAGGCTCGAATCATTGAACAAATGCAAAAGAACACGATGCACTCCCAGACCAGTCAAATGATGACAATGTTTCAGAACAGTCGAGATCTCATTCAGGCAATCGTCAGCGCTCATCACGTCACATGTGTCTTCACCCTCAACAACGTGAGGCAGATGAGAGAGGAAGCCATTAAGAACAATAACTTTGTCAACTGCCCTGCTCAAATGGTATTTTATGTTTGTATAGATTTGTATTTAGACTTAATACTTGTGTATAATTTAAATTATAGATAGCAGTACACGAGTGGAGCAGACAATTTTAGTTGCATTAGGAAATAGTCCAGCCTCTTAAATCCAAATTTCAATAATCTGATGCTTCACCTTCCAGATGAAATTTATGGGGAACAAAATTTACATTAATAAAAAGTACATTTCACTGATCTGAGATTTGTTTATATAATTATAATATAACCAGTATCAAAACATCTTCATGCAAGGCTCTGAAAACTAAAAATCTGTTGTATTTATATCAAATTTCTTTATAACAAATTTATTTAATTTTAAAGTTAAATTATTGGGATTGTTACTCCAAAGTGACAGATTTTAAATCGACTTAGAATTTATTCTAAGCTTTCAAGTCATGTTTGTTCACCGTAGAATTGTTATATATGATGTATTATTCCTAAATATGCTTAAAATTTATAAAAAAAAATTTGTTCTAAAAATCTTTTGAGCAAAAATGTTTAAAACTATGTGTTTTATTTATATTCTCATTGGTTTGTCTAAATGTGGTTAGGTGATTGGTCAGAAAGAATTCCACCTTGTTTTTTCTGTGTATTTTAAGTTTACAGTTATTGTTCTTGACTTCCATAAATGGAAATTGTCCAGATCTATTAAAGGAGAGATCATGTGGTTTGTTAAGAGGAAGCAAAGAAAGATAACCCTTTTTCATTTACAAATATTAATAAATTAGTCAATCACATTTAATATCAAAATTAATGCGAAATTTGAAAAAATCATTAAATTACTGTATCTACTGTAGTTCTCAAGGAAAATCAATTAAGTCTATATGTTCAATTAATTGTAAACCATATTACAGCTAAGCAATGTAGTTGGTTTTTGTGTGAGGGTGTGTCTGTGTGTGTGAAATCGGTAAACATTTCCATTTCATATTATTCAAGTCAGGATCAGTTTAATTTCAATTGGAATAGGTGCATATTTGAAAGTAAAAAAAAATTTCTGAAATTTCACTATTTCTTTTCAGTTTCTCTTTTAAAGTATGATTGTCCACTAATTTTTTTCTTAGGAAAATTTTGTTTTCCATCTGCAGAAATTCTTTTTTATTTAAAAAAAAATTGACTCTTCTTGACATGTTTTATTAGATATTTATATTATGCAATAATTTTAAATTCTTGTTTGCATCTGAACAATTTTTCTATTTTCTTTGTGAAAAAAAAAAATTGTATTAAACATTAAGATCTGATATTCGTCTTTTAATGATGAAATCTTATGTCAGAACAGTTATATTAAACATCCAATTTGTCCTTGATATATTATGCTAAAATTTATTAGTGGAAGACTAATGTGCAATAGAATCAATTCTTAATTAAATTTTCTCAGGAAACATGTTTGAGTATGACATCATAGTGTCTTTATCAGAAGTGAAAATGATTTGTACACAGATCACAGATGTCTGAAGGATTTAGTACTAAATGTATACATATTCTTTCAACCCCCAAAATGTTTTTCTTCAGTAAAGCCTAATTTTTTATTACATTATTTCCATGTGAAAGAGACAGATTTCATATTTAAAAATCATGTCACATGATACAAAGTTGTTTTCTATTGGAAGATGACATTTACGTATTTTTTTAAACCTTCATGGGAGACAAAGTTTATATACCCATCAGTAAAATGTTTATTAAAGTATACAAATTAGAATGATCTTTACGACTCACAGAATGACTATGCTTGACATTTCCAAGAAAGTTAATGAAGATCATTAAAAATACACATGTACAGCTGAAAAATAAAAACAATTTTACAAGTATTTACAGTAAAACTTGCTTATAAGAAACTCAGATATGAGGAAATTTCTGTTATAAGGAAGTTATATCTTTTCCCCATTACTCATATCATAACACTTTCTTGCATGGCTATAAAGAATTTCAGTGATATCATATCCCAAGGACTTCTGTATAAGCAAGTTTTCCTGTTTCTTTGTTTCTTGATATAATGATGTTATGTTTATCCTAAATCCATTTTAGCAACTCATCCTTCTTGATAAAATTTTGGAATTCACATGATTTTGTTTTGATAAAGTTTTTGTAATTTGTTGTGTGGTGTTTTGTAGGCTTGCCCTCTGAATGGCAATGTTACACAGTCCTCCGAGGACCCCCAGGGATGGTCGGATATGTCCGAGTTTTTCACTCCGGCGATTAAGTCAGTGGTGGACTTTGCTAAGGCTATTCCTGGCTTCTGCCTTCTCAGCCAAGATGATCAAGTTACACTGTTAAAGGTGAATTACTTTACCTTGATTACATTGTAAAAGGTAAAGTAAAAATCAAGAGTCTATATCAATTAAATTACCATGATGACACCATAAAAAGTTAAATGAATTACATAGACATTATTACATTGCAAAATGTAACAAACATTACACAGAGTTTAATCAATTAAATTACCATGACATGGGCGGATACAGGATTTGTGATTAGGGGGGGCATGGATAACTTTGATCAGGCAGGGGGTCTGGGGGCCGCCTTAAGGCCCCCAGTGGGTCCGGGCGAAGCCCCCGGAAGCTCCTGGGTTTTCGTGTATTTTAAGAGTAAAACCAGGCACAATAATAGGGGTATTGGTTAGTTTATATGTACCAAAGTTTGGCATTATTAATACTAGTCATATCGTACTTTGAATAGAGGGGGCCAAGGGGGCGAAGCCCCCGGAAGCTCCTGGGTTTTCGTGTATTTTAAGAGTAAAACCAGGCACAAAAATAGCGGTATTGGTTTGTTATATACCAAAGTATGGCATTATTGATATTAGTCATATCATACTTTGAAAATTTTAGGGGGGGGGGGGCGTGCGCCCCCCACGCCCCCCCTTAAATCCGCCAGTGCATGATGACACCATAAAAAGTTAAATGAATTACATAGACATTATTACATTGCAAAATGTAACAAACATTACACCATCATGATTACACAATCCATGTTATAGAACAGATGAATTGCATCATCCTGACTTTATTATAAAGGAACCATGTATTACATTACCATCAACTACCACTTGTTGCTTTGATAAATAAGGTCTGTCTACAGTAAGGTCAAATAAAGTTGTGACGGTTTTTATTATCAGACATTCTCAGAAAATAACAGCAACACCATTATCAACAATCTTGTATAAATCTGGAGGTTACATCCCTCTTCACACTACTGTAAAATCACTTATTTTCATGGGGTCAAATTTTCGTGGTTTGAGGAAAAACTATGGGTTAATGGGGATTTGATTTCGTGGATTAACAATTGTTGAGTAGATATGTATATGACATTATGCATTTCGTGGTTGACATAATTTGTGGGTCTCTTCATACCTCAAAAGCAACAAAAATTAAACCCCCACGAAAATTAGTGATTTCTCAATATATGATAGGTATTTTACCTTGTATGAAAAAAAAAGTTAGGCTTATTAGAATTGATGATTGTAAATAAAATCGGAGCATTGCCAAAAATTTACCATCATATTGCGTGCAAAGTATTATTTATTTCACTTCATGTTAGAAGACACTATGATGTTGCATTTTACACTTGACCAATTGGTTCCAACACAATAGGCTGGGACATTAAACTATGTACCATTGATCAATCAGTACTATGCTACGACACACCATGTTGTACTGAGGTACATGTATGTCCTGTATTTTCTGATGGTGAAAACAAACCTGTATTTTTCTGCATTGTAGGCAGCTACATTTGAGGTGTTGTTAGTCCGCATGGCCAGCCTCTTTGACCCTGAATCCAATACAATGATGTTCACCTGCGGCAAAATGTTCAAAAGAGAAGTCTCCCAGGTAAGATAACCATTAAGAATGGATGAGTGTTCCCATTGTGGTTTGGTTTACATTAACTTTCTTTAGCATTTTTGGGAGAAACTGGGATTTCAGAAATCTTTTCAATGTATATGAGGCATAATATACTTGAAAGAAGAATGGTAGCATGCCATTTTAAAAATCATTTTTCAGTGAGAAGTTGAAAAACATATTTATTCAGAGCTCTGCCAAGGGGACCTAATACATGTACTTCAGTCCAAATACAAATAAATTCCAGAGGAATTTATGTGTCCATCAATTTTGTTTATTCTATTAAATTTTATAGTCAAAGAGTAGATAAAAAATAAATGACTACCAAGTCAAGAACCTACAGTACAGTGATAATAATGCTGCTTTTAGGAAGCATCATTACTGCTATATGTGTGTGTAATTATTGGGTTAGGCTGGGCAGAGAATAGGAAAATTGATTTGAATGTGTTGAAGCAGGGTGATAATCACCAAATAATAGGCATTTATCATGATTTATATATTTTGTAGTGTATTTATCCATGTCATGTTATGGAAAATCATGTCTACTGTGTTTCTTTTGTTTATGAAGCCGTCCTAAATCATTCAAAAAAAATTATGACACTGATTCAAGAAAACTGACCCAGCTGAAAGTACGAACAAAATGACTGTGATTGATATGAAATATGTGATAGTGCAGCAATGTATTTATTTTGTAACTTTAGATTAAATAGACTTCAGAATAACCTAAACAAGAACACACTAATAATGAATCCTTGTTTGCAGTGGATATAATTTATTTAGCAAAACAGTTCAAATGTTCCACATACTCCATAGCAGTTGTACTGTAATTATGGTATTGCTCTTGAGTTTTGTAATACGTTACCCTTTATTTCAATACAGTTTTGGTTTCACTTATTGATTTCTCAAAATAATTTTTGAAAAATTAAACTGCAGTGAAATAAACTTGAATGGTAAAGAGTCAATTTAAATGGGCATTAAAAATATGAGATGAAAAAAAAAGTTAAAAATCACTGGAAGATCAAAGCTGATTGCAGTTGTAGTGGTTTTCAGTTAGAATTTTTAAACTAGCCATTGTTAAGGTCAGTAATTGCGTCCTAGTTTTCTAAGAATTGAATGCTGTATTAGTCATTGTGACTGAGTTCTTAGGAAAATATATGAATTTACATTTTCTTTTCCATAGGTGTCAAGCAGTGCTGGGTTTTTACTAGATTCCATGTTTGACTTTGCCGATCGTTTTAACAAACTGAACCTGACCGATGAAGAAATCGCCATTTTCTCTGCCATTGTTCTTCTGTCTCCAGGTATGTGAGGCTTAACATGTAAAAAAGATTACTTGTGCCTTAATGCAATTAATATATTCATAGCTATTTATTATCAATAATAAACTTATAATGACTAAAACCTGCTTTCAAGTTGAATATGCTTAGAAGGTTGTAGATTGGTACAAATTAATTTAATCAGGAGTATGCCTTTTGAATAACAGTATTGATATTGTGTGTTGTTGCTGATCACATGTGCATCATGATCTTGACTCAAATCACGTAGTCAAGATATGAAAGGGGGGATCTGGTCATTATAAAAGGTGATCAAAAAGTAACAGGCATAAAGTAAACATCTATTAAATACCAACAGATGGATGTTAACTTGATAATTGTGTAATTTGCTTTATTCACACCATTGAATCAACAGGATTGGATATGTTGTTGTGTAGTTTTATCAATAGTTCAAAATGTCACTTCATTTATGACGTAGGAATAAAACTCTGCCAGTTACGCAAATAGAGGATTGAATATTTAAATAAGAACAACAAATGATACTATACTTGATCTTTTGGCCATTGCAACAGTTGTTGTACAACACAAGATGCATTTTGTTATGCAATATGATTTTTTGGACTGGTCACTCAAAAATATTGGCTTCTAACTTGGATGAATAAGAAATTGTGTTACCATGGTAACCTAGAGTCTGTCAGCCTAATATGGAGATTTTTAAACTGCTATCAACTTTTGCTTAAATAATGTACAAGTGAAAAGGCTATATTCATTAGCCCTTGATATTGACCTTTATATTACTTGCTGCTGATAGCACTTTAAGGCACTGAAGAACAATCAGAACATTCTTGAACATGTACGTTGTGTGTACTATCTATCAGATATATATCATTCCATTTCACTGACGACTTTTTCAGATCGTCCGGGGTTAAGAAATGTTGAGCACTTAGAAAGCTTCCAGATGAAGCTGACTGAGTGTCTCCAGACAATGATTGCGGCCAATCACAAAGAAGATAACACACTATTTGCCAAACTCCTGATGAAAACGACAGATCTGAGAACCCTTAATACTCTTCACTCGGAAAAATCCATTGGTAAGAAAAGTCAACTAAGATATTCAAAGAACTATAATTTAGACTGGTAAAAATGTGATTGAAAACATATTAGTTAGTCATTTGTGGTTATTTGAAAATCATATTGAATGTTAACATTCAAAGTCAATCAATTAACAAAGAATTGTAAGAAAATGGAAATAAAGTACATTAAAGTCTGGAAAGAATAAACCAAGAATAGACATAAACTTTATTCACATATATGTATTTCAAGTTAAATTATCATGAACACTTACTGATAACTGAACTTCTAATTTTCTCTTACAGGTCAAAATGAAAAGAATGGATTAGAAAAAACGTCTGAGCACACCATGGGTAACATGGATGGACATGACCAAGTGGATTCATCTATGTAATTATACTATTTAAAATTTGATGAATTTTTATTTTATTGTATGGAATACACTTAATTTTTTGAAATGTGTGTTGGTAAACCTGCTTTCAAAATATATATGTTTAATGTTTCTTTTGATCCCATCCTTTTACAGTTCTGAAGGATCAACAGTATCAGATAATTCCTCCATACCTACAAGTTTGTCCGGGGCCACGGGGTATGATTCAGGCATCTTTGATGGAATACCCATAGTTCCACAGCGCCACTCCCTGGAGACAACACACCCCCATTTGCTTCTGAAAACACCGTATGGTACATTTTACCGTGAAGACTCCCTTGGTTACTATGGTTTTGTCACAGATCAGCCAATCAGAAGATGTCACACATTGGAACGGGATACCCTTTCCCGACCACGTTTGCACACTATTGAAGAACGCAGACGTTACACTATGGACAAAGACTACATGGATAGGAAGATCAATAACCTAAGTGATAGATTCCAAATGGAAAAGGGGGCATTACGTGGGAACAGTATGCCACCCTCACTGGCAGGTAGTGCTGCATCGAGCCCAGTTCCCCCACATTTCTTTCTGGAGAGCAGAAGTCCAGAGCTTAAACCTGGTTCATTAGAATCTCATAGTGCAGGTAACAGCTTAAGAGGAAGCCCAATGTTCAGTTCTGACAATTTTATCCCCATTCCGTCAACTTCTCCAAAACCAGGATCCCCCAACTTCAGATCTCGCTCTGGATCCATGGGCATGGATGATCATTCTCAATTGCGTCCAAGATGTTACAGTTTTCACATGAACAGTGAAGGGAAGGCCTCTCGTGACCCAAGCCGGGAGGCCTTACAGGAGAGTTACACAATGTCGCCTGAAATGAGGAGAGGAAGTGTTGGAGCTGTGTATGGACTCCACCACAAGAAAAAGTCATTGCTGGTGGATCGTCACCCTCGATATCTCTCACGTCTCTCAGACTCCATTGTGAAGAGGGTAGACAAGATTAAAAGCCAGGAGACAAAGAAAGTAAGAAATCTCTTATACTTTTTTCCCATCTTAAACAAATGTTCCTTTAGTGAGCTTCAATTCTTTGTTACTTTTTAGGTGCAAAGTTAAAGGATTTCTGCTTTGCCTCATTGAGAAGTGTCTTATTTTACATAAGTCAATGTTAAAGAGAATTTCTGAGAAGTCAAGCAGAATCAATTTTAGATTTTTGTTTGACATATGGCATATGGACCTTATTTATTTTATACTTTAATTTTATTTTTTGATGAAAAGAAATGCATTAAACATATTTTTGAAGAAATCATATTTTTAAAACTGCTTTTTACAGGTGCCAGATTCTTATGAAAATCTTCCAGCAGTTCAATTACCTGTTCAGCCAGAACAAGTCACCTGGCTCCCTCCTTCTACATCTAGTCCAGTATCTGCTGCTGCAGGAGCCCCTCCTCCTGTTAGCAACCAGAAAAATCCAGATTCAGCCAAATCAGACCAGCCTGTTGGTTCTCCTGTTGCCATGGATACAGATGAGGAGCAGACAAGTGTGGAAAGTCAGGAATCTAGTTCTGTCTTCCACAAAAAGTTTGACAAAATGAGGAAACATTTGATATCAACAGAAAATGAGGAAGCTGAGAGGAAGTCAAAGGCTGAGGATGAGGATGTAATGATAGATGAGGACACAAGTGTCTCCTCCCAGGATAATGTTATCAATGAAAGAAATGATGAATCCCAGTCAATGGATGACATACCAAATAAGGACTTGGAGAAATTAAAGATTAATGATGATACTAAAGAGAAGAAGACAAAATCAGCTGTGGAGAGTCACCCACAGCTACTGGCTCACTTAAATTCTAGCACTCCAAATCTGCAAATGGGCTTCTTGAAGCTTCCACTGCAAGTGTCTCCCAAACAGACAACGACAGCTTCATCACCTCAAGTTCTGCTGAATATTCCCAAGTACAGTGGCAGACCCTCTTCTGTGGCCAAGGAATTGCCCACACTGGCTTCTCAGTTGAATAGTACTCCCCTCAGCAGTACCTCTTCTTTCACTCGATTTGTGGATCAAGGCAACAGGAGAGATAATATGCATTCAGAGACTATGAGTCACTTGAAGGACAAACTCATGCGCAAATATGACAGCATGGAAAATTTGGACAAAGTCCCAGCCCATCAGTCCCAGCCCAACAGTGAAAATGACAAGCACCCAAAGATCTCATCTGCCTCCAACCCAAATATTCCTGCCGGACTTTACCCAACAAGCATGTGTTCTGAAGGTGTCAGAGGCATGTTCCCTCAATCAGGCATGCCTATGCATCCTGCCTTCTTGGGATCAGGGGGATCAGGATTTGTTCCCAGGATGTTCATGGTGCCTGGTTATAACCAACACCTGGCAGGAATGCAGCAGCTGGCACAGATTTATGCTAAAAATGTGGATCAGGAGAGGAGGTAGGTTCATCTTCAGGCATTGTTGTCGTATATGAAAAAAGGTTGGATACACTTTTAAAATAGTCCCTGTAAAGTGAGAATTCCTTGATGTATCCAGAAAAAACCCAATAGTGAGAGAAAAAAAGCCATCACTAAATGCAAGAATTTTACCGTCATCAAGACATGTAAAGGAAATACTAATCAAATCATGATCCCCGGGGGTAGGATTGGGCATATAATAGAGGATTGAAGTTTTACATGGGGATATATGGAAAAATATGTGGGAAACAGTCCTTAACAATCCTTTTCTCAAGAACAGCAAAGCCATAAATAAATGATATTGAAACGCAAGCATCCTCAGGTAGTGCAGATTCAAATTTGTTCAATTCATGGCCCCTTGGGGAAGGGTGGGGCCACAATAGGGTATCAAGTATCAAAAAAGGGATCAAAATTTTACATAGGAATATATTGGAAAAAATCTTTTCCTCAAAAACAGCAGACCTATGAGTAACGATAATAAGTGCAAGCATTCTTGGATCTTGCATATTCAAATTTGTTCAGGTTTGGCCTCTGGGGATAGGATGGGGCCACAATAGGAGGTCAGTGTTTTGAATTGGGTCAAGTAGGAAACAATCTTTAAAAATGACTGCAGAGTTATAACTATAATGATATTAATAAGAAAGCATCTTCAGGTAGTGCAGGTTTAAGTTTGTTCAAATCCTTTTTTAGTGAGCTTTTCTGATGTCCACTATCTGTCTTTGTTGTGGTCATAAACTTTTCACATTTTCATCTTCTTCTCAAGAACTACAGGGCCAATTTCAACCAAACTTGCCACAAACTATCCTTGGGTAAAGGGGATTCAAGTTTATTCAAATGAAGGGCCACACCTTCTTCCAAGGAGAGATAATTATGATTTTGTGAAAAATTAATGGCATCATTTAAAAATCTTCTTCTCAAGAACCACAGTGCTTGAAAATATGAAACTTATGTGGAATCATTGTGAGGTAGTGCAGATTCAAATTTTTACAAATCATGACCCCCCAGGGTAGGGTGGGGCCACAATTGGTGATCAAAGTTTTACATAGGAATACAAAGGAAAAATCTTTTAAAATCTTCTTCTCAAGAACAGCAAACCCATGACTAGTTATATTTATATGGAAGCATCCTCAAGTAGTGTATATTCAAGTTTGTTCAAATCATGGCCCCAGGGGGTAGGGTGGGGTCAAAGGTCAGGCTCAAAGGTCAAAGGGTCAGTAACTGGTATTTGTAAAATCTATTGTTCCAAGCAATACATGAGCAAAATATTAAATCCTTGCTTCCAACAGTTTCCAAGATAGACAGACAGACAGCTAGACAGATGCAAGACAACACAAAAATCACAGATACGGCTTAGACACTGAGGTCTTTTGTTTTATTTATGAAAATATATTAGCTTTAAATCTTTAACTTGGGTTACCATTGGTAAAAACCGGTCTTTGGTGATCCCTGTTTTCATAACTTGTAGAAGGTGTTTTTGATATACTCGGTATATTTTGAATTGCCACAGTTTCTTCCCTCATCACTATTATGTAGTGCACTCTTTATTCCAAACGGTCATATCAAGTAACAATACAGTGAAAGTTGCATGATGACAACATCTGGAATGATTGTGGTATTTTATGGAAATTTTACCCTTAGTGTTGATTATTATTATTTTTTGTACAGAAAGGACCAAAGTGAGGCTCCGATTCAGATGGAAAATGAAGGAGGTGGAAAACCTCACGATGGAAACTCTGACCTTGAGCTGACTTTGGAACAGAGAATTAAAACTGAAATGAATTAAACCCAGCTAGGTTGTTCACGAAAAGTAAGTATTCAATACATTAATCAATGCTCATTCAAAATGGCTCAAAACAGATGAAAAGTCAGCATAAAAAAAGTAGGGATGGCAGTCAGATAATTTTTTAAAACTTTTTTTTGTTAATCATAAATTTTTCCAACCGAGTTAATTGAACAGAGAAGATTTGTTTGTAATTTTATTATGGATTTAATAATGACGTTATATACTTACACAGCAATTTGTAAACTGTCTGTTTTTTCTTATTTAAAAATAAAATCAGCCACTGATGGGACTTTGCAATTTTTTCACTAAACAATCGCTTTGTCAGCACAAATGTTCGGGAATCACAAGATACTTTGAAATTCCTGGGAGTATTTTGCTATTATCACTTCATTATTCTTTTTGGCCTCTGACTGTGTTTTCTGGTTAACTGGTTATAAAGCCTTTTGGGCTTTATGGAATTTGATCTCGTGACCAACCCGTATGTATATCCCGCTAGATGTTTAAAAATGATACCTTATTTCTTAATTGAAAATTGTAGCCAGTTACGTTTTTTCCAACTGATAAGTCAGTTAACTGGTTAACCATTGCCATCCCTGATAAAATATTTACATTTGCCGATGTCTTTCCTTATATGACAATACTAATTAAATTGACATTCAATTTTCAATGACATGCAGTTGGTCATATGATCAGACTTTCTTGTGTACATGGAAAGCAAACTGCACGAGCCATTTGGAAAGTTACGATTATGACGTCATTTCCATAAAGTCTAAATAGTGCCTATTTTTCCTTGTAACATGAATAAAAGTAAAATATAAATAAAAATAAAATATCATTTTTTTTTAGAGTTTCATTGGGATATGACATGAAGTCGGTATGTGATCAAATCTACTATAACGCCCTTTGGGCATTACAGGATTTGATCATGTGACCGACTTCATGTCATATCCCAATGAAACTCTAAAAATGATATCTTGATTAATTCTTAAATATTTGCATAAAGTGCTAATGTTTTAAAGAAAAATCAGAATTTGTTGTAAATAGCATTAAGTATGAAACCTTAATGATTTCTTTCTTTGAACAGATGGAAAATCTGCTTGCCATTCAAAAGCCACTTCTGCTTCAGTATCATCTATTAAGGAAGATCTTTCTGTGTATTGTGATTCAACATTTCATCGAAGTGCTAATTGGTACCCATTTTCAGGGATCAACTGGTATCCATCCCTCCCATAGATTCAGCAGTGCTGACAACTCTGTGTAACATAGATACTGACTGTATATATAAAACAGTGAGAATGATATATTTTTGGAGATTTGTTATTCGGATGATGGTTAGAGCTGGTACTCTTATTATGTTGTCAACCTTGTGTAATTTAGTAGTTGCCATGGAAGCTTCCCCCTCATGTTCATTTTTCCCCCTGATCTCTCTTTGATATTTTAACTCTTCAATTATTAAAATGTGAATTGTTAGTAGTATTAATGGGTGTCTGCTCTTGCAGTTAGGAATGCCAATTTGTACAAAACTATTCTTTTTTGAATGACATCAGATTTGCTTATGACAAATCTCAGAGGTTTGTGCAGTTGTATTTTGAAAGAGAAGGAGAGGCACAGCTTTACAAGATATTTTTTTTTTTACAAATTAATTATATTCTGTATATAAGAATCTGTGTAGATGTACATAAATTATGTGTAAAATAAGTTTACTTGATGTGTTCTGACTGAAAAACATCCTGAAATTCTTGGCTTTTTAAAGGGCATAGACATTACTATGTACAGTACTAAAATCTTTGTTGGTATAATGAAATTGTTATTGTCCACCCACCAACTTCTGCTCAAATGTGTTGGATAAATTTTGCACATTTGTTGAATGAAACAGAGTGTGTACTTACTATGTAATTGATTTAGCAAGAGTACATGGATTTTTTTTTCTCTCAGTCTTCTCATTGACTCATTTTGCCCTCTTTCATTATCTTCAACACAGAAAAAAAGTGCAGATGCAAACTGAGTAAGAAATGCTTTTATTAATTGAATGCTTTTTTAGCTATTTTGACTATCCATAAAAAGAAGGGATTGCAATGTCCGGGCATACCTGTCATGAATGACATTTTGAGTTTTAAATTAAATGTCATTTCATTGTGTTGACGTTTCCGTGCCGTAATTGTTTATTTCCTGGGTTACAAAAGCAGCTGGACATGAAATACCTGAATCCATACATGTAACTTTCATCATTATTGCTCGTTTACAGCCAACAGAGCAGTGGAAATTAAGTTGCTAGGTAACTCTGAAAATCAATTGATGAACTTATTCAGCATGTCAGCTACTTACAGAGATGTTAATGTTGACATTTTTGTTTTTGTAGTTTTTTTTTTTTTTTTTTTTTTTTTTTTTTTTTTTTTTTAGGTAAAACAACTACTGATTATGCTCCTTAACCCCTTATTTTTTTTATAGATCACTGAGGAAGCATAATTGTGATTCATGAAATGTGGTTCCCACTGAAAATATATTTTTGTTTTAATAAATCTTAGAGAAAGAAGAATCGATACACATGTACATAACATTTTTTTTTTGTTTAAAACAAGAAAAGAAATAATATATAGCCCCTTCCTGTACAGTTTATGGTACATATATTACATATATGATAATTTATTTGTGGACTAATTGAAGTGTTATTGAGAGAGATATTTGTGTCCTTGCCATAGATGTACTATTTTTATTATATATATATATATATATATTATATATACTCAGTGTTGTCTGTGTACATATCTCACTAGGTATTTGTATAGAATTCCTTTTTTTGTGTCCTGTAAATTCAATGTAACGTAATGACCCTGCATGGCTGAACATTGAGATTTATTTAAGAACCTGCACTAAGCTATAGTTTTTCATTATTAGGTAGGGATGGGGGTATATGGTTCATCAATAGAACAGCAGTTAAATGTACGTATGTTAAAATTTTGTTAGGTAAGTTTCATATAATTAAATCATCAAAATTTTTATGAATATCATTATTTAGCTCATTTTGAAGAAGATGAAATGTGCTTATGCTATAGGCTGCGATTGGCATTGTGGTTAAAGTTTAAGGAATTAGTCCTTTCCTAAGTAACTGTAGGACTGTCTTGACCAAACTTGCATAGATGCAAACTACCCGAGTTGCCTTGGATGCTGCATCTGACCTATATTTTATGGACAAATGACCAGGTTAAACTTTTTAATGCAGGTTCGTTCCCAAGTATAATTAAATTCTACCAAGACTGAGCTTGCATGGATATTGCATCTAGAAATGAAGTACGCTTAAAAATTCATCTAGTATGAGACGTTCTCTTGTGTACAAATAGTATTCGTTGAGGTGAGCTTCGTAATCTTTGATTACCTATGTTTCATCCTTTGAATGCATGTCCTTGTTCATGATTATAGGCAATAATTTTTAACCTAAACTCAGCAAAAACAATTCACAAACCCTTCATTGCTATAACCAAATAAAATTTTAAAATCCTCAAAATCTGTAAATATTTTTTTTATTTTGTCCAAATAATTGTACTGTTTTGTGAATTTTTCTTCAATTTAGTGTAGTTTGGATTGTAAATAGTGGTGTCATTTGTCGTATAGATGTATTTGTACAATCTTCTCAAAAGATATTAAAAAAAAAAAAAAGAATAGGGATTTATAGAGAGTCAAACATATTTAATATTCAGAGTTTGATTAAGCTAACTCAACAAAATTGTGCAATAAAAAAAACTATATATTTCAGACATTTATACCATGAGAGCTTGCGTAATCTCTTGAGATAAATTCTAGTACTTCTTAATTTATTCTACTTTTTAATGTTTTTTTCAGTAGGTGTATTAGTAATCAAAATGGCATCGTTAAGGGCTTGACATTTTATTTGTGTGACTAGGAAAAGAGGAGTTGAATTTTCATAGGGTGTACATATGTAATACACAGTCTTGTAATTCAAATTTTAATCTCAATGAATTATGTAAAGACAAGGTTGTAGAGTGTAAAAAAAGAAATCATGAAATTAAATTTATTTATTGGTGATATTTATGCATACATTCTTATTAAGTGCTATGAATTGTAACTTATTGCATGCAATTGCTTGCATTCCAAACTACAATTAGTTATTTGAGAAAGTTTAGTTACAACTGGGGTAAAGTTTGTGTAGATCTTAACAAAAGTATACATTGATGTGACTATGTTATTACATTAATTATCAATACAGCTGACAGATAATCCATTTTTAGTATGTTGAGATATCATACTTACAACATAATTTGATTATGTACTTAAGCATAAATCACAGATAATTGTGATGCAGATTAAAGAATTGGTTAGTGCTTGATATTTATTAAGTGGAACACTTATTGTTCTTCATTGCTACGAGTGATTAAGTCTGAGAGAGAGAGCTTAAGAGTTCATTATACATCTAGTTTTTAATCTATTATCTTGCTGTACCAAATGGTCATGTTAATTTATTTACTCTGTTGCTTTTATATTTCATTGGCTTGACTTTAATTTTTCACTTCACAAAAGAGATTTGCAATTGTTGCATATAAAAATCTTTATTAACAAGTCTTAAAAGTGTTAATCATGTTAAGGAATGATATTTTATTTTGCAATTCCTGATTAGTTATGTGTTGACAACACAGTGACTGAAATGAAAGTATTGAGTAGCTATAGTTGATATGTTTTGTTTTTGATTCTTCATTTTCTCACTCTAAGCTCATACTACATTTGTTGCTTTGTAGGGTGTAGTATTTTGTCTGTTTAAATAAAGTTCAGAAATATTTATGTGTTTTATTTATGAGGCAGCACAGATTGTGGTTCTGAAGTATAGTGTGCACTGAGTGCAAGAAAAAAATTCACATACTTGAGATAAAGGTTAAAATGCATAAAGAACAATTTATTAAGAAAATGTGTTTGTGAAACAGTGATGCCCCCTGTGTGGCAGCTCAAGACTGAGGTTAAAGTTTTTTAAATGTAGGTCAAACTCCAAGGTCAAGAGTTATTAATTTTGGTACTGAAAGGTTTTGTCATATGACAAAGGTTAATGTTTTTCAAAAGTAGGTCAAGGTCATTAGGTAAAAAATATTGGTATGAAAGGAAGGTCTTATCACAATGAATATAAAGCTGAAATATGAAAGCTGAAGCACCAACAGTTCAAATGTTATAGGCAAGATTAATTAAGGTCAAGGTCAGGAGGTCAAAAATTGTCAAGGAAAGGACTTTTTATAAGGATTACATGTGTGATATATGAAAGCCTGGGCCTCAATCAATAAAAACATTAAAAAGTTATGAGCAAGGTTAAAGATTTTCAAAAGTAAGTCAATATCCAAAGTCAAAAATGTTGGTATCAAAAAAAGGTTTGGTCACATAGAATACACATATGAAATGTATCCAAAGAAAGGTCTTATTACAAGGTATACACATGTGAAATGGAAAAGCCCTAGCACCAACCATTCTAAGGTTATGGGCAAGGTTAAACTTTTTGAAGACAAATGGATTAATGGACAGACAGATGCATGGATAAAGCAAAATCTATATGCCTCCCAATTTTTTTTATTACAGCGGTACAAAAAGTGGGTGGGACTGCCAACTCATTTCAACATATCGTTCTGTATTGAGATATCAATGTTAAAGATCCTGAATGTAGAAGAGATGTACAGATTTAAACATGGCACAAAGGTCCTTCAATCATTCAAACTCTTCAATTATAGGTAGTGAGAAAATAGAGATAAAAGCAACTTTAATTATGTCTTTAATGTACTTGTAAAATTAGGATTGATAATGCACATGTAGGAAGGTGTACTGTACAGAATCTTCTACAATACATCTACAGCAGAACCTCCTCCATGGGGGAATTTGATATATAGCAGTTTATCAAGGGGGGGGTGTCTTTGATATAGAGAAATTAAGTTATACCCTACAATACATCATCTTCCCCCCAGGAAAATAGATATTCAAAGACAACAGATTATTGATGAACATGCAGTCAAATCACTGTGGCTTATTTACTTAAATAGGGAAAGCACATGCATATAAAGTACTGAATTAATTCATATATTATCTAATATAATGTTAAGAATATTTGAATTGGTTACAAACTGAAAAACACAGTGGATTTCTTTAAATCAAAGGGCAGATAACTCTAAATGCATTGAAGTACCATGGAATTCGTGCATCCGTCATTTACATGTATCAATTGTACCACAGCAGATTTTCTGTAGAGAAGAGTTTTCTCCTGCATTGAAAAATGTTTTACTTAAAAAATGCATTAACATTCACATACTCTGACTAGAACATGGAGGTGGATGCCCCGTAAACTGATGTCTGCCTCAAGTCATAATTAGGTTATATCAGACAAAGAGAAGACAACATTAATCAGGTAGTACTGAGTTTTTATGCATTTTAGATGTGACTGCTAGCCACAGTATTGCATGATTTCTATCATATTTTACCATTTGAACTGTCAGTGGGTGAGGTCTGAGTCCCACACAGTTAACATCTTTATAGGATTATATATATGATAATTAAACAAGTCTCACAAGCATACATTGTAATCAACAGAATATTACACATTTTTTTTTTAAATAAAAATTCATTTTAATAAAAATGTCATCATGGAAGTCAAGTAGTACAAATGGACCTACATGTATTTAGCCAGCCAGGCATAATACATGTACTCCAATTGGAATATAGCTAATACACATGTAATACTCCAATCATTTTTTTTTCACAAATTTATAAAATCTTAATTCCAAGAGAAAAGTCACATGGTCTTTATAGTCTGAGTTTTGACAACATTTGATAGTTCTTATTTGTTGCTACAAAATTATTTTGGTAACACGTACCTCTCCCTTTTAGACCAAATTTGCAAGTGAATGAATATTTAGAGTAGAACTTAATGTTTATATTAAGAAAGTTTTTAAGGGAATTGAAATTTTATTTTCTTATAACTGAAATTCTTTATATCCAAGTAAGGAAGAGTTATGAGGATTTATGGGGAAAAGATCAAACTTCCTTATAACTAAGATTCCCTAATACTTCTATCTAAGTTCCTTATATTAGAAAGTTATACTGCATATCTATTTCGATCTTTTTAATGAGATTTCATGTACTTATTTTAACATTACAATTTAGAATGATCATATCTTTACAGGTGTATATAAACTATATCCCTACAGCTGTATATAATATATACAGTATATATCCCCACTGGTGTTAAAACAACATGGTCAGTCTTGGGGTGCAAAGTTTGGTTAATTGTTTTGGAGATGTCGAAAATGTAAAAAGTTAGGAGACAACAGATGCCAGAAAGATGTCCGGAAGAACAATGCTGATCTAAAAACTTCACTTGAGCCTTTTGCTTCAGTGAGCTAGAAAGGTATTTGTCACACAAACTTACTCTCCAAAATAAATCAATTAGGCCATCTTTAAGAGAATGCTTTCTTCTGACTCAGGATTTAAAAAAAGGGAAGGAGGTAGGCAATTTTTATGCCCCACCATGAATATGAATGGGGCATATAGTGTTTGTCATGTCTGTCTTCTGTCCTTCCATTACACTTTGCATTTTGCTCAGTTTCAAAGAAACTATTCAAGATATTTTTATCAAACATTATATGCTGACACATATTGATGAGAGCTATTCAAATGCATCAGGTTTTTGGACCTTGACCTTTCCATTGACCTTGACCTTACTTTCTTAAATTTAATGATTATCTCAATTTCAAAGATATTTTTATCAAACCTTATATGTTTGTAAATAATGATGAGAGCTGTTCAATTGCATCAACATTTTTTTTTTTTTTACAATGATCTTTCCTTTGACCATAACCTCACTTTTCTTAAAATAGTATTAAGATCAGTTTCAAAGAAACTATTCAAGATATTTTAATAAAACCTACTATGCTGATACACTTTGGTGATAGCTATTTAACTGCATCAACATTTTTGACCTTGACCTTTCCATTGACCTTGAATTCAAATCTGTGTTCAGCAAAATTTCAAAGAAACTATCCAAGATGTTTTTATCAAACTTCATATTCTTATACATATTGATGAGAGATATTCAATTGCTAATTTTAATTGCATCAACATTTTTACCTTGACTTTTCCTTTTACCTCGACCCCACAAAGGACAAGATAGGGTAAGACTCCTTTTTGTTCCATGGTTTGGGGTGTTTCTTAGAACAATGCAATAGTTAAATTGTCATCCCTGTAATATAATGAGTATTGATTCCAAGAGATATGATTCACAGAGACCACAAAATTGATCGATTTCCAAATTTTCTCAGTTTTTTTTTCTTCAAATTTTCATCAAATTCAAAACATATTTTGTTTCTGAAAACACACAAAACAAGCTTGCCTATCTACCAAATTTATATATTTTATGCACTAGTATCAGATATATCTTTTGTATGAAAATCTCAGATAGGCAAACCGTTCACGGTAGCTCAGTCGGTAGAGCGCTCGCTCCGTGATTGGGAGGTCGTGAGTTCGAATCTCGGCCGCGACAGACCTAAGTCGATAAAAAATAGGTAGCAACTGTTCCTTCGCCATGTGCTCGGCACTTTGGAGTGAAAGTTGCGGGTCTTTCGGATGAGACCTTAAAAACCGAGGCCCCGTGTCACGGCAGGCGTTGGCACGATAAAGATCCCTCACTGCTCAATGGCCCTGAGTGCCGAGTAAAGGTCAAAATTTGAAGCCCTTCACCGGTATATGGTGACGTCTCTATATGAGTGAAAAATTCTCGAATGGGACGTAAAACAATATACATTCAATCAATCAGATAGGCAAGTTTATGCTCCATGTTTCCTGAAGTGAACAGTATTGCAAATTTGATGCAATGCCATCAGAACTAGGAAATTTGATAAAATGTTCTACTTTGTCACCCTCTAGTGACCTCCCTGGATACCTTGAATCAATACTAGTTTTAAAACAAGCATTATTTAAAGTTCTTAGTTGCAAACAATCACAATTTTAACTGTAATTTGTTTTTTTTTTTTATATGAAATAATGGGCCAAAATCAGCTATTTCCATACCTTGTCCTTTGTGTTAAGCTAAGTTAAAACGAATCAAATCAAGATATATTCTTATCAAACTTACTATGCTGATACATATTGAGAAGAACTATTCAACATCATCAACACTTTTTTTTAACCTTTCCTTTGACCTTGACCTCAAAGAAACTATTCAAGATATTTTCATTAAACACTCATACAAATTCTAATGAACCCTTGGTGGGGCATTCATGTCTTATGGACATATTTCTAGTCTGTTTTTTTTTTTAACCATCATGGTAGCTCAGTTGGTAGAGTGCTTACTCCATGATTGGTAAAAAATAGGTAGCAACTGTTTCTTTGCCAAGTGCTCAGCACTTTGGAGTGAAAGTTGCGGGTCTTTCAGATGAGACATTTAAAACCAAGGTCCTGAGTCACGGTCGGCATTGGCACGATAAAGAACCCTCACTGCTCAATGGCTCTCAGTGCCAAGTAAAGGTCTAAATTTGAAGCCATTCACCGGTATATGGTGACGTTTCTATATGAGTGAAAAATACTGAACGGGACGTAAAACAACACACAATCAATCTAGGTTTTATATCTGATGCATCAAAATTGTAACCGTATATGATTTACATAAAAACAAAATGCGTTTGTGAAACACTGATACCCCCATATGTCAGCTTAAGGCGAAGGTTGAAGTTTCTCAAAAGCAAGTCTAACCTTAGGTTAAGAGATCAAATTAAAATGTTGGTACCCAAAGAAAGGTCTTGTCTCGCGGAATATGCCTGTGAAAATGAGAGCCCTAGCACCAACCTTTGAAAAATTATGGTGAAGTTTAAAGTTTTTTAAAAGAAAGTCAAATGGTGCCCAAGGGAACATCTTGTCACAAGCGATACACATGTTCATGAAATGTGAAATTTGATATAAGATTTTGGGACAATGCAAAGTTGTGGCATCTAAAGGAAGGCCTTGTCACAAGGAATACACATGTGAAGTAGGAAAACCAGAATTCTAACTGTTCAAAAGTTATTGCCAAGGTTGAAGTTTTTCAATATTAAAGTTGACCAAACTCCAAGGTCAAGGTCAAAAGATCAAAGTTGTTGGTATCCAAAGAAAGGTTTTGTCAAGGAATACACATATGAAGTATGAAAACCCTAGCACCAACTGTTCAAAACTTATGGCCCAGGTTAATTTTTTTTTCAAAAGTTGGTCAAACTCCAAGGTCAAGGTCAAAGGGTCAAAGTTGTTGGTACCATAAGAAAGGTCTTGTCACAAGGAATACACATGTGAAGTTTGAAAGCCCAAGCACCAACTGTTCAATAGTTGTGGCCAAGGTTAATGTCTCATAAACTTTTGCAAAAGTAGGTCAAACTCCAAGGTCAAATATGATGGTACCCAAAGAAAGGTCTTGTCACAAGGAAAACAAATATGAAATATAAAAGCCATGGCTCCAACCAAAAAGTTATGGGCAAGGTTAAAGTTTTTGCGGACTGATAGACAGACAGGCAGGGCAAAAACTATATGCCCCCAATTCTTCATTTATGGGGGCATAAAAATCATTGTCTGGAGGTTTTAAAAAAGTTTTTTGAGTTTAACCATTTTTAGTCAGTTGGTTGGGAGAGCAAACAGACAATTTTTCATCATCTGCTCTCTACACTGGAATATCGGCACTTATGAAACTATATCAAAAAAGTTTGTTTTCTGTAGCAACTCAAAAAAGTAAAAAGTCTGCATTCTTAATACATTTTATTTGAGTATTTATCATTTTTCAACAATGCATACACAATATTCATCCATAATATTTAACATTTTGAAGACAACCATACAATAACACACTATTAACAATCTGAGTTATCACAATACATTCAGCTGGTATCATTAGCCATGCATGAGAAAAAATAGCCATCTCTGGCACTCACCATCACAACTAAACATTTCTTAGGTTAAGTGTGTGTCTGTGTGTGTGTGTGTGTGTGGGGGGGGGGGGGGGGGTTTAAATGGAAATTACTTCACAATTGCCACAGGTTTAATACATTTTTAATAGTAATTGTGCAAAAGTGATTTTTACTGTTTTTTATTGCTACAAATTTTACACTAAAAAAAAACTATGAAATACATTGTATTTGCAATTAAACATGTACAGATTGTGGATAAACTTGTGGTAATTACTTCTAGGTTAACTTTATGATTAAAATAATCATAAACTATGAGTCATCTCCAGAATGATTATATTCTTCTCATGCCTGGCTTTAATTAACACCAGCACCTTTAAGAGCAGACTGTTTATAAATCCAAGTTGCTGTATTAATATTGCATTGGAAGAAACATGATGTATCGACAAGAAACCAATATCACAAACTCTTGGATCATTGATAAAAAACAAATATTGAAGCAACAGTTTGTACCTCTTCTCTACACATTTATGAGTTAATTTGATATAAGATTTTGGGACAATGCAATGTATTTGGCTATAGACTGAAGAGTTGTACTGTAGTACATTTCACAAACAGTAAAGTGTGAGAAGCATAAAAAAAAAGAAAAAAATTTTTTGTGAGATCCTCGATATTCATAACAGATACTAATTAACTCATCTTTGCATTGGGTATTCAGGTTAAATCAAAATTTAAGTACATTTTTAAACTGTTAAGATTTACCCATATAGATAATAAAAAAAAGTATTGTGTAGAAGTTGTTTTCTTCCAATCTTAACCCTTTATCAATAATAACACTTCATCTTCACCCAGTACAATTTCTCCCTTTCAACACTTCCCTCCCTTTTTCTCAACAGTTTTAAAAACTGGCACACAAAGAAATTAATTTAACAAAAGAAAAGGTACAGATAATGTAATACTGAACATAACGGAACATTAGACCAATATCCCTATTCCTCAGAATCACACAGTGATGATATATATATATATATATATATATATATATATATATATATATATATATATATATATATATATATATATATATATATATATATAGATATTTTTCGAGAAAATATCATCCATATTAAGTCTTAAAATCTTGTACCAGATCCAACACGAAAACATCCTGAACAATTTGGTCACTTTAATGTTCACTAAAGGATATCATGTTTGTATGAAAGATGTTCTTGAGAAAATGAGGAATAGTAACTGGTCTTTTCTTCACAAACTACGGTACAAAGCATAATAACATTATAAATTAAAATGTAGATTTATATGGTAATTCTCGTTATTTCGTCATTTTCAAATGGCATAATGGACAAATACATATAAAAATGACACATAAAGTATACATGATGAAATCTTTCTAATTTTTTTTTTACCCTTGAAATATGTCCTCCTGTTTCCCTCCTCAGAGAACAAGAGATTATTGTACATCACATTCAGAGAATCAAGTAAACCTCATCAAACAAAGAATCAAGTACACCGCCACATTCATTTCATAAAAGATCACTTTGACAAAATCTTTTTACGTACAATGCATTTTCAGTCTTAGGATGAGTGTATGAAAAAAATATGGACATCACCTAAATTAGTGTCATACTATCTCATGAATATTAAAAATACTTTTTTTTTTCTAAAAGAATAAATCAAGGAGTCAGTATAAAATAAGGATTACCCCCTGGTCATGGGTACCTACATATCTAATAGTACTGGCTCTTCATTTGTATTTTACCCTCAAATATGAAAATATGAAAAAAATGATCTGCTGAAATACATTCTTCTGGAACATTCATTCCTGATGAGGGCACACATTACTAGACATCACATTTCTGTCACACAATATCCTAAACAACACATTCCTTCACTCAAACAAAACATCACATTGTAAGCTAGCTTTCCTCTTTGGCTCTCTTGAAATTTTTAATTAAAGAAAAAAAAAAAACTGAGGTAATATCATATTGTGTTATTACAATCTTATTAATATACACAGGTATGCAAACTTTCTCGTTATTATACAAGAGTAAGAACAAAAAAAACAACGATCATGCCATGTGTTGTTTATGAATACAAAGAAAAATTCTCGTTAAAAAATTAAAAAGGTGGTTCAATCAATCAAACTCTCCTCATTTCGAATGAGCATGCTATATGCTCTCAAGGATGACCATCCATTTTTAAGTGGTGACTCAAGAGGTGCATTCTGGGACATCTCATAACAGACGACACCAGCTATCCTCAAGCCTGGGTTTTGGATTCCATGAAAGATGACGAAGAGTCTCTCTGGATATGATGTCATAGTTCCTCATTTGATTGCATTAATTGTGAGTTTGGAGAAGAGGAGTTTAAAGTCTGAGGTTGAAATGAATTCTGACCAGAAATTTGAGATGAACTTAATGTTCTGTCATATGAAGTGAACTCTATAGTTCCCTCTGAAATAAAAAAAAAAAATTTAAATGCTTTTTTTTTTCATTGTAAAGGTACATTAAGATTTTTAAAAAGTCTTGAAGATCACTTTACAGAATAAAAGACTATTATCATAATTTGTAAATTGAGAACTTAATTTGACTTTTTTGAATACAAGTACCAATAATAAGGAAACCTATAATGATATTTTCCCTCTGGCATTTAAGTTCTTATCATTGTTAAAGGTCACCAGAAAACACAACTCTTTTTGCATTGTATAGAAAAAGTCTCAAGGCCATCATTGCGAAAAACAAAACTCTAGTAGTCTCTCTTATGAGATTTTTGTAAAGGTAAATTTTTGGTCGTGCTCACTCTTCCTTTTTTCATGAGTTTTCATGAGTTCACTTGACATATCTTCTATTGGTAAAATGTATCAGAAAAACACATTTTTAAAAGACCTTATTAAATGTTTTGTCTTCTTTTGGATGCACATAAATTATAACAGTTGTCATTCTCATTTTCATTTGATATCAGTAGAAGTGCAAAAACTGAGGATTACTTCTTACTGTGTAAACATGGGTACATGTACCTAGTGTACTCTACGAGTTTACTGGATTGAGGAATTAGGGCCCTGTCTTACATTTCACACCATAACGTATGAAGGAAAAAAATGTCCTTCTCTAGTAAATCTGAATCTTATCATGTTCAGAGGAAAAAAAAATAGGACATGGTTATATGTAAGTCATTACTAAATGCAAAATTAAAATTTACCAACCATTGCTACTTAGATCTGTGTTGGTGGCCTGATCCCGCATTCCGTGATCCCGGCTCGACGCTCGTTTTCTTCGTCGTTTTGGCTTCCCAGAATTAGCACCACCTTCACTTGTCAAACTGTCACAAGAATAATGCACTCCTATGTCCCTCTTTCCCCCACTGGGGGAAATTCTCAAGTGGGGATCCCGTCCACCATGAGAATAACTTTCCTGCGGAGAGTCTGAATTGAAATCACTATTAAATCCTGTTGGCACATGACATGAATGTGGTGAGGGGGGACAAGCTGGTGCCTCACCCCCTCCCATTGAGTCTAATGTCTCTATACACTGCTGGCTATGATGAGAGGTACTATGTACTGAACCGTCCATACTGCGGTTTATTTTATTAAAGTTGTTATCACTTTCATTATAATGACTTGGTACACTGCCATTAGGCACAAATGTAGATGTCTACAAAACAACATTCTGAAATTTATGATTTCTTTAAAAGACAAAAATTTTGAACATGATAAAAGTTAACTTTTTATATACATGATACTGAATTTTAACAAATAAAAATCTTTCTAAAAATTAAATAATTTACACATTATACCCAGGATTATTCAAACATACATAAAAGTTTAAAAATGCAATGCATAAATTTTACAGAAATATATATTATAGAAATATATATGCATATATTATTTCTTTAAGTTCTAATTCCTGCATTCAAATTTTAGAATAAAAAGATAGGAACCTGATAATTTGATCCACGGTTATGGTTGGCAACATCAATATCAGACAATGGATTAACACTAATATTCATTCTGGTATAGGCATTCCCTGCATGCCCATTAGGGATAGCCCCATTTACCCCATTGCACCCAAACCCCCCTCCATTTGGATATTTTTTGTGTAGACTATCTGCGTAGATTCTCTGTGAAGAGTCCTGGAATTTCTGACACACTGCATCATTCATAGCATCTAAAACATACAGGAAACATGGCTAAAAAAAAAACTCTACCAGAATACAGAATATGTCTACCAGAATACAGAATATGTCTAAACAGACAGAAAAAACCTACTTTTTAAAAACATTACGGGAAAATAAAACACTAGAAGAAAGCAAGGAATAGGACTGTAGAGTTTCAAAGGTAGAGGTCCAAGTATAATCAAGTATCCAGTATATTTTGTACCCCCAGTGTTAAACTTCTGATTTCTAAATGTAAGCTTCAGAAATGATGAAACTTTCATCTTGACCAAATATAAAGTATCAATGCATATGCAGTTTGTTGAACCTTGTTAAGGTTAGTTTTAGATAGATAGATGGAACCAAAACTATGTCCTTTCTAATAATGTTCTATCTCAGGGCATAATCAAAGTACAGAATGTACTTCAGGGAGTTGAACTTTTCAAAAATTTAAAGATAAAATTATCAATTATTAAAATAATTCCACTTTTTTACCGGGTACTTCTAAAAATTACAGCTAACATTAGTTCAAAATATACTGTAAACCATAGTGCATGAGAACTTAATTCATGTATTCCTTACTACCCTCCACACCCATGATATAATCCCCCCAAATTACCCATCCTCCTTCTCTGTTGTCTCTGTTTCCACCAACACATGAACATGAAGATTATGAGGAAGAGCATCATAACTCCCAAGACGATCCCCAGCACCATGTACAACATCTCACTGCTTGACTGAGTATTATTTCTCTCCTGCTCTTTGGCATTAGAACTTGGCCGGGAAGGGGTGGGTGGAGCCGGAGACGGCCAATCGTTATCTATGTTTGAGATGGGTCGGCCATTGTTGCCAGGTGGTGGCTGGAAAGGAACACCTGAAAAGTGAAAGAAGAAAATGAAGTCACAAGATGAAATTAGTTTGAGAGTTATTTCAAAACTTGATTTTTTTTTCTCTTAAGAACATAACACTACATGTATTTCAAAAGCTCTTTTCGACAATTATCGACTGTTAAAAAAGAAAAGAAAATCTCCCACTTACCTCCCTTTGTTCTCATGACCACTTCATTGCTGAGATCACTATAACCTGCAGTGTTGAAGCTCTGGATTTTAATGGTGTACTCTGTGGCAGGTTTGAGATCTTGGATCATGTAAGACCTAATAGTAGGTTCCAATAATGGTAGGGAGGTAAAGTTGCTTTTGGCACCATATTCTTTGTAGTGAAGTGTGAAGCCTTCAATTGGGGATTTTTTCTTGGGCACATACTAATGAAAGAGAATGATTCACTATCAGAACAAAGTTGTTTCATTATTCCTTAAGAAATATCTACAAAAAAGATTTATTTTTGAAATCTAGCCTTTCTGGGACAACTTTACACATTTTCTTTTAAATCATATAAAGTGCCACATGAAAACTGTTGATGCACAAAATCCTGCTCCTTTTGGGTTCAGATCCTGTGTAAAGCGTAAACTTGATTTCTTCATCAGGAGACATCTCATCCCAACATAGCTACCCTACATTAACTTATCCCAACATAACAAATGCCATTTCTTACAATAATTATTTTTATAATTCTCTCTGTCTCACTGTTCTTCATGTTTGGCCACTAAGTACTGCAGCATCATGGAACAGAAATCTCTAAAACTTACATTCCATTTGACATTGAGCCCATGTATCTTCTGGAATTCCACTGCTTTGACCTCCACAATGACAGGTGCCCCCTCTGGGGCCTGGGGCTCAGAGTAAGGGGCCGTCTTCAGGGTAAACTTCTTTGACGTAGGTCCATGTTTGTTGTCATTATTGGAGTAAACAGCTGCTACTCGAAATTTATATGTGCCTTCTGAAAAATTTTTAAAATAAAAAAGTTAAAGTAGATTGTTACTGCATACATTACACCTCTAGCTCTTGCAACAAAATGAAGGTCCATTTGCATTGTGTTTTTTTATTTCTTTCTTTCTAGGGGAGATAAATAATGTAAATTAATTCAAGGAAAAGTATGTATTGTTTATATATACATATACATATATCAATCACTTGGCCTTCTGATTTGTGCTTAATTAGAAATTCAAATTTTATCTGCATGTTACATGACAAATAAGATTTCGAAGAATTTCCAGGAAAAAAAAATTGCTTGATTTTTTTAAAGCTTCTTTTGAAATCAATATCAATGAATGATGAATACTGACAATTCCTTCCATTCAAAACCAAATATTCAGTTTTACATAACAAAGGCCCACTTATTAAAAAAACTCTGTATAACTAACCTTGTTTGAGATGTATAAGTTCATACATCCTCTGATCTCCCCCCGTTTAACTAACCTTGTTTGAGATGTACAAGTTCATACATCCTCTGATCCCCCCCCTGTATAACTAACCTTGTTTGAGATGTATAAGTTCATACATCCTCTGATCTCCCCCTGTATAACTAACCTTGTTTGAGATGTATAAGTTCATACATCCTCTGATCTCCCCTGACATCTGTGTCTTCTGTCTTCCACTGAGTTTTCTTTGGCTTGATGGCCCTGTACTGGATTCGAAAGAAAGTGATTGACAGACCGTCATTCTCAGGGACTGTCCAGTTCAACTTCACAGAAGTGTCCGACAGCTGGACCACATCAGGGGCACTGGGTGGAACCAATTTAACTGAATCGGAGTAAAACATACAAAGGTGAAGTTGACAATTCCACAAAAACACAGATATATGACACACTAAAATATGCAATTGCAAGAGCCAATTTCTATTCAAATCTGTGTCTTACCTTGGGCCATCATTTAACTGCCAATATTTTTATTCCAATATGTCTTACCTGTGGGGCCATCATTTGAGGGACGCCCTTTATTTCGATTCCTATTATTTCTTCTTCCACCCTTCTTTCTCTTCCTCTTTCTTTTCCCCTTTTTCCTTCTTCTATTTCCATTTCTAGACATTTTGGGACTAGTGTCAACTCCACCAGAAATGACACCACCTGAAAACAGTGAAGAATTTGACTTCTGTCTGTATGTATAAACATTTGATATGCAGACAATATTTTAAAAAATCGGTGTAATTTTCAGGTCAGCTCATTTGATGATGTCCTATTTTGTGTGAGTCACTGTGATCAACATATAATATCCAAACCTTCACAAGTCAGGAGCATCCCAGTCATTGCTTGACCATCTCATTTCCTCTTGCTTAAGATAATGGTACATACCTGATGCAATTTTTCCAATGTTATCTGGTACTTCATTCTCACTGGCTAATTGACCTTTGACCTCCACTTCAATGGCAGAGTATGCCATTCCTGCTTCATTGCTAGACATGCACTGGTAGATTCCACCTTGAGATTTCCGAATACTGTTAATACTATAGGTGGTCACTGGAAAAGAGATTTCAAATCTTAATCTTTCTGAACTGATAATAGCAGTCACTGAAAAGAAAGGCTTCTAAAACTTTATGAACAGAAAATGGTTACTGAAAAAAAGGAAAGAATCAAAATGTTAACTTCTTAATGTGACAATAGTGGTCATTGAAAAAAAAAAAATTGGAAAGTAATACATTTCCTAAATTAACAGTATCTGTAGTGGAAATAAAGTATTACAAAAAGATGCTGCTAAGTTTAATACAACAGATCATCACTTGAAACTCAAGCTTTAATGCACCTCTTATTTGAGTAAATATGAACAACAAAACATTATTTCCCTATGTCTTAAAGTTCTTTAAAATGATAATACATGTACTTCATTCTTATAAGGTCAAATATCACATAACAGACATGACCCACATAACATCACAAATGAAATATCAAGAATCATCAGTATTCCCAACAAGAGGCCCATGGGCCACATCGCTCACCTGAGTAATTTGGCCATGCTGTTCTTTACCAGATTTCCCCCATTGTAATACTTAGTGTAGCCCGGCCCTACCCCCCGGGGTCATGATTTGAACAATTTAAAATCTACACTACTTGAGAATGCTTCCATATAAGTTTCAGCTCTTCTGGCCCAGTGGTTCTTGAGAAGAAGATTTTTAAAGATTTTTCATAAATATTTCAATGTAAAACTTGGATTCCCTACTGTGGCCCCGCCCTACCCCCTGGGGTCATGATTTGAACAATTTAGAATCTACACTACCCCAGGATGATTCCACATAAGTTTCAGCTTTTCTGGTCCAGTGGTTCTTGAGAAGAAGATTTTTTAATAACCCCACCCTATTTTTGTCTTTTCTTGATTATCTAAGGGGACTTGGCCCTTTATTTTAACAATTTAAACTTCCCTTCACCCAAGGATACTTTGTACCAAGTTTGGCTAAAATTGGCCCAGTGGTTCTTGAGAAGAAGTTGAAAATGTGAAAAGTTTACAGACGGACGGATGACGGCCAATGGGTGATCAGAAAAGCTCACTTGAGCTTTCAGCTCAGGTGAGCTAAAAACGGACTTGAAATATTAGTTTTCTTACAGACTTGAAATATCATGGTTTTTCCTTGAGAACTACAACTATCCTATCTAAACTCATTTGAATACTGTATGTAGGGTAATGGACAAAAACTGGAAGGCAAAAAATTTAAGAATATTTAGGTACTATATTTAATCCGCAAGTACAGCGTAATATAATTGCGTTTTAATATGCAAAAGGAAATTTGAAATATAAAAAAAAACTGACTTAATTGTATATGTAAACAGGCATAAAGACTGCATTTAATTCAAACGTCTTTTACAGTGTAAAACAATTTAGTTAATATCATTAAACTTCTTTATATCAATGACATTAAAACTAAAGATCAATCAATACGCCTAAGTGCTCCATTCAAGAGAATTGGTGCCTGTGCTTGGACTACCGAAAAAAAAATGACAGACCAAGAGCAAATGTTCACTTTCTACTATTGTTCATATTGTAACACAAGTTGCTTTTCCTAATACCTGTCTGTCTTACTTACAAAGGAACCTGTACACGCCTTTGTCAAGATAACATTTCAGACCAATTTTCAAAGACCTCCTTTCATTCTTTTAAGTCAAGCATTTGTTTAAAACTTACCAGGTGTCAAAGTCATTTGATAAGGAGAAATGGAATTCAATACAAGAAATTGTTAAGTAGCACAAAAGCCTTACATTTCCTTTACAATGTAAACCCTTTCATTTCTGTCGCTATTTGTTGTTTGATATATTTGCCAGTGAATTGCAAAACATTAGATTGTTTTAACGATTTAAATTTCAATTGTTCTATCTATTCCTGATAGATATTTAGTAACACACACCTTTTAATTGAATTTCTTTTAAAAAAGAAACATTTTTTTGAAATTTCGAGCATGAAAATGTGATTTGAATTATGTGAAAAGATCAAAACCAAGAAAGAGCTGTATTTGTTTGAAGTTAGTCAAACAATTCTTCTTCAAGGTGAATTATCACCCAGATTTTGTTTAAAATTAACTAAAATTTTGAAAAAGTAGGTAGAGTCCCCTCCATTCCTAACAAGCCCCCCCCCCCAACTTCCACCATCACCCTCTTGACTTGAGTACAACAGGCCTATCTGCATCATAGAATTTTTTTTAAATACGATCTGACATCTTCCTACTTTAAGCATGAGTATATCCTTCATCATGTTTTATTACATTTAAATTACATAAAAATATTATACAAGTTTATGCTAGTCAAGGACTAAGAAAGTGTGACAATCCTATAAAAGTAATGAAGGTTTACTAGAAATGGCCTATTACACATAGCAAAATTATTGGGGTCATGTTTAAGAATAAATGTTAATTTCACTTGTGTCTATCTGGGTCATCTTTAAAGTTCACTTGCTTAGGTCTAAAGGTTAACCTTTTTTTCTGCTGTAATTTAGCTCTCCGTCTTTAAACATTTCACATATGTGCAAGTACTAGTTGTTTACAGATATATCAAAATTAAGGAATAAAGAATTTCATTCAAAATAAAATGTAGAATTTAACATAGAGTCTTCAACAAGTCTTTTTCCAAAGTCAATAAGGTCTCAATTATAGGCTAGATGTAACTATTAACAGATTTCAAAAATATTTCCAGGTTCAATTCCTACCTCCATTTTCTGCCTTCAGCAAATCTGTTACAGGAACTGCATTATGATACCAGATGACATCTGGCACTGGTTCACCCTTGACCTCACATACCAGATGGACAGACTCCCCAGCATTGACCACAGCATTGGAAGCTTTGGCTGTCACTGAAGGGGGTTCTGCAGAATAAATGTAAAATACTGTTTTAAGCATTTTAATCAAACCAATATACCGATTTATTTTGAGATTTTTTTTATTAAAACAATTAACTGGCACATTAGTTTTTGTTAAGATCGAAATATTGAAATTAAAGAAAACAGAATCAGACACTTTGACATTCTTATGAACATTAAATTAAACAAAAGCCAGAAACTATAAAATATCTATTACCTATTAGTAATTTCTTGATGAAACACAAATTTACTAAAAAAGGACAAATTAATCAAAATACTGATGTCAATGATATTGCACTGTCAAAACAGCTTCATCTTTCAGACATTTTTTTTAATAATTGTCTTCAAAACTATGACTTACTTTTCTGACAATTACTGACCTTCTATATTTAGCTCCATGGCCTTGACCTGCACTGTTCCCACTCCATTACTGGCTGAACAGAGATAGGTCCCTTCATCAGCTTGTGTTAAATTAAAGATATGAAGGTTTCCTACAATGGAATTCATATAAAGATAATTATTTTCTCTTTTCACTTAATATTTCAGCACATTGGTACAACACAATAATAACTTTCTTAAAGACAAACAATAAGTGTTTACCCAGTATATTGCTTTGAGGACTTTTACTGTGCATAAGAGATAGAGAGAAGGAGAGAGAGAGAAAATATGTAAATACATTTGAGACATATGTATATGTATAAACATCAGAGAATTGATAGAATAACATCAATCTTTCATTCCAGACAATGGGTTCTGCCAACATTTAGTCAAGTAAACATTCCTACTTGATAGATTGACACCACACAGTATGTGTCATAACTCAGAGCTTGGGTATACATGCACCACAACCAGGATTTTTAGTTTTGATTGGTGAAAGGGGGTGGGGGGGAGGGTTGCACACCCTTACAATAATTTTGCCACCCCCTAATAAAGTGCAACAGTAAATAAGCTTTGTTTTCGTAAAGTATATACTGGTAAAATTATCGGGGGTTGGGATGGACCCTCCCTCCCCCTCCCAGGTCCTTTATGCCTGTCAACTTCCAACTCTACAATGGGTCTCAAAGTCTTTATACTGAAGAAACATAAGAGCAATCTACCACTGATTACCATTTTGTATGATGTGTCTGTCTGGAGCCAATCGACCACCATAGCGGTCCCATGTAATATTTGGTGGTGGGGAGCCGTCTGCTGCACATTCTAACTCCGTATCTTCTCCCTTGCCAGCTCTGATGGTGGTAGAGGATAAAATAATGGCAGGCTGCTTTTCTAGAGGTTCTACTACAAAAAAAGTCATTAAATATAGTAATGTTATATTTTCCTGCTTATTTTAACAGATTTTACAGTGTGTTGTAACAATGATCTTTGGGGGCAGTAGAGTAAATCTAATCATCTAGACTCAATAAACATGCCTTATCTGCACGAATTTCATCCATAAATTTTCAATTGTATCTGCTTAAATTTCAAAAGGCATGGTGAAATGTCATAAACATTTTTTTTTACAAAAACTTTTTTCCCTCTTGCTCTTGGCAAGACATCAGCATTTCACAGTAGAGTTGAGAAATTGCGGGTTGCAGACGTCCTCCATCTATCACAGCATTCTTGGTCTGGCAGAAGCTTGCACCAAATTGTGACCATCCATTACCAACACCGGAGTGACAAGCCAAATTATGCTCTGAATCTCTAACTGCAGTCAAATGTTTCAAAGACCCCACAGTGATGCTAATCAATTGTAATAATTACCCTAACAAATCACCCTGACAATTTAATTAAAACAGATTCTGTAAAACAATTGATGCTGGCATATAAAGGTTTAAAGCAATCAATTGCTCGTAGGGGAGGTTATTAATTCATCTACCACATCAGTATGAAATAAGGGTGGTAAATGTCTCAGAAAAAAATAATACTACATGTAACATCATTAGTTTCCTTGTACCAAAACCCTTTTCCATCAAAAATAAAAAGAGGAAATTAGAACCCTTGGGGCCCATGTCAAACAAAATGTGGATAAATCTCTAATTTCTGTTCAGGTCACACCAACTTAATTCACTTGCCATACTCTCTTGACATGGAAATGTATATTTTAGGTAAACAAGACAAGACAGAGAAGATGATTCTGACAAATCTTTGTGGACCAGGCTGGACAATGGGTGACAGTACACACTATCAAGGTCTGACAGGATAGGGTGGGGACTGAGACACCAGGTGTTCACAACTAATTTATGTGTCTCAAAAAAAGGTCATTCTGCTTTTTGAAACTTAATAAATTTTCACTTGTCAAAGCCCTGAAATTCTGTTGGTGGAACAATCTTGGAAACTAGATGATATATTGCCCTATTGGCAAGCACCTGAGCCATATTTTTCTTTCTTTTTTTCTTTTGACGTCTGCAAATGAAAGGATCTGCTTTTGAAAGCAAGGCAAAAAGAATCTATTAGGAATTTTCTTGTTCACAGTTTATCCAAACTTTCCAGTTTTGCAACAAAGCATACAAGATCAGTAGCGGCAAATCAAAGAAACGTGTAAGATTTAAACATGGTAGGATATAAACACCCTAATCTGTGCAGCATACACTACGTATAGGTCAACAGGTAGAATTTATTGTAGTACATGATGGATTAAACAGCTGTCTCAGCTCGATAAAAAATATAAAAAAAATCTCAAAAAAAAAAATCAAAAAAACCGCCGTGTTTCTAAATTACACCTTCCATGCATGATGTTGTCTTTTCTCTTCAATCTCTTGCTGCAATATGAGAATTTCATGCCCCTTACACTGGCCCCCTTTTCTGCAATGGCTGGTAAACTTTTAATTAAAAAGGCTAAGGAAAATAGGCAAGAGGCTGCCAACCTCAGAAGACAAATGGGAAAATTGAACTCCTGAGGCAATCACCTTTTGTCTAAGTCTCCTAGTAACTTGGAGAATATTGTTCAGAGACATCAAACAAGCACTGAAAGATGATAACATCTACACTTTGTAAAAGAAAAAAAAGGTCTCTTTGTTAGACATGTATATTATAAAACAAAAATATTCTGTGAAAGTAAATGATTCACTGCCTAGCCAAGGCCCATAACTCTTAACTCAATTCACCAAAAACCGTCAGTCAAATAATTTGCATCCGTTTCATCTGGTGTTTCTTTTCAAGTGGTATCTTTCTACTCTTTACCTTGTTAATAAATAAATTTTTAAAGTTGGGTTTAATTTGATTTGCCTGTTTTTTCCCTTAAATCTAATTCCTAAAAGTACATCCATCTTTCATCAGTTGATGTGTGAATCAACTAGTATTTTCCTCACAATCTTAATCTTTGGGGTTGTAAACTTATCAAAAGTTTCCCTTCTAAGCTAAATCAATTTATCCTGTGCCAACAACATAATTACTGCTTTCAACTTGATTTTTCTGCAACAGGTTATTCAACTTAAATGACCCTTTCCAGAATTTGCGAGTCTGAACTAATAAAGTAACTGGTGACTTATTGCTCCAGCCTACACCCTTCAAATGTCCATGTACCCAATTCAACTCCTGACTTTATATCTTATAAATGATGCACAGCATTTTCAATTAATACTGAAAAGTTCGCTCAAATCACTCATTTAAACTAGACCAGCATAAAGGCCCATGGTAAGTTGTATGAAATCCTAAACCACAACTTTTTTTTAGGGTGATTCATAACACTGTCTCTCACACTCCCTCCTTAGAAGTAATAAATGAAATGTGTCAAAAATCTGTTGGTCGGAAGAAAACCTAGCCCCCCTATTAAATATGAAACACCCTGTAGGGAACCCCGCTTTAATGTGTTTTGCATGTTTTTTCTCCCATTCCCTGATGATAGAAAAGAAAGAATAATTCATAAATCACTTTTGGAGCAGGAGGCCCCGGGAACAAAGAGATAGCTTGTTCTACCAGAATGTGCCCTAGACCCATTAAGAGGCAGAAATGTGATCTAAAATAGAAAACGGATCATACTGGAGCCAACAAAGCAACAAGCAGAGAACATTTAGATCGGGATCGCTACATAATGCAATCATATTTTTCTCCACCTCATTTTTTTCTTTTGCTACATATTATTTTCATTGGCAGCGACTGGTGAATAACTGATTTGTCAATAAATTAATTTTTTCCTGCATTAGCTTTGGGTGAAAAAAGCATCTGATCTGCTGGCTGGCTAATGAAATTGCCGATTAGGTAATAAAGAAAGCTTATCTTTACGCAGCAAAGGGCAACTAGTTATCTGCAGGAAGCCGCATTCTAGACAGTAAGTGAAAACATATCACAAATTTTCTTCTCTTTCCTTTATCATCAGTATTAATTATCATTCTTTACATACATATGTTGCAACACCAGGAAACATGCATACTTGCTCATTTATTTTTCATTGCTTACATACACACATACAAGAATGAAACCCCCCCTCCCCCCACCGCTTTAACTTGACCCATATCCACTCCTCTGTTCCTCCTACAGCTAAAAAAAAAATGCCAATTTTACGTTAAATTTCTTCCTCTGCATATTGTGACATCTAATTAGAAAACTTACACTTTACAAAAGCTTACTTATCAAGACTAAGGGGAAGAAGAACATGAATTGCTGTTTACTGCCCAAAAAAACTTCATTATGAAGGCATGCATAAATATTTATGAACTTTTCATGCAAGACTACAGGTGTGAAAACTCGTAATGCCGAAATCTACAATTCCACAATATGGTTACTCTCAAACCATTCTCTGGTTTTCTCTACTCTGTGTATCTAAGCATGTCACATGTTGTTCAAAAACGGAAGCCATAAAAGCAAAACCCAATTGAGTCCATCAACATATTTTCAAAAACCAGGACAACCCATTCCTCATGATAACACTGGGAGACGGACTTTTATGGGCTCTTAAAAATACCAGTCTTCATTCACAAAAATTATCAAAGGATTCTCTCCCTTTGCATTTCTTTTTAGTGTAGAAGTGTGTGTTAGGTAACGTGAAGGTCAATTTCATATAGTTCTCCAGGTGTCGGTTTAAATGCCAAGTAGCTGTGAACATCTGTAAATGTCTTCTGAAGGCACATCATATTGTCTGTTCAGAATTAATTGGCAAAAAAAAAATCATCTGATGAATCTCCATTGTGCTGAAAACTTTTCAGGACAAATGCATTTTGTGTAACTCTAAAGAAACTATTCATATATATATTTAAGCTTTTTATTCCGGTATATTAGTAATTCAAGTAGAAAGCAATTTGTCCATGGCTGATAAAAAAAAACCTAATTAAGGATTCATAATCTGCCTTACCAATACAACTTAGCAAAAATAATAATCATTGACAGTGTCTGTAAAAAAAATGCAAGGTTATCCTAGGTTTTTTTCTGCAAACTGGTGTGAAACGTCATTCAAATTAATTTTCAGTCAGTAGTTAAAAATAATTATTTCATAGTAGATATCATTCTTTCAATTATTTAAGAGATGCATATTTCGAGGCTAGAATTCAAATTTTTACTGTTTCCAATACGAAATTCTGTATATTTCTACATTCTGCCTTCAAAAAGACCTGGCCACTTTGACTCAACCACCTGAATTTTCAACTAGGAGTCAGACAGAGGAGCCATTTCACCATTAAAAAAAGGTTAGTCATTTGAAGCCTGTATACAAAGTTTATAAATACATATTAACAAAGTGGGAGTGAATATTTACCCTGAGCAGATTGCAGGACTTTGAGATGAACTACGTGGTTTGCTGTTCGGTTCCGCAGGGTCACTGGGTTGACCGCCACACAGCGATACTGTCCAGAGTCCCCCAGACTGGCATTACGAATCATCATGCTTCCATCAGCAAAGACCTGGAACCTCCCTGAAAAAGAAGCCAAAGAAATCATCCAAGGAATTCTTGTAAACAAGACAGAGGATGAAGATGTCGTCACTTTGATATTGTTTTTATAAATTTGTACCATTGCTTGACCTATCTTCTACCAATATACTGTTGTAAACACCAGGTTACATACAAAAACTGAGCATCTTTACCATATATTCCTATTTATGCTTAATATGATAAAACTCAAAGGTACTTTGCACATGATGCAGAGGAATATTTACACATTTAGATCTCAGAATTTTGAGAGGAAAAATATTTTTCTCTTCAAAATGTAACTTAGTGCTGCATAAAATTCCAGGTTTTTGATGCAAAGAAAAAAAAACTTCAGGACTTATCCCATATCACAGGATAGCCTTTTCCTATGATTAGACTGAGAAAAACAAGTTTTAAATTCATTCAAAGCTTCCATTTATTTTTTTTATATAACCCCTGACCCTTTTCTGTAAGTGCACATTTTACAGAAATATTTTGGGTAAATAGACCTTTACATGAAAATGCCATGTTTGCAGCCTGACAAATAACAGGTTTAAAAATCATCTTTTTCTCCAATCAATATTTATATATTAGATTTCAATCTTTAAAGTAAATAATGTTAGGATAAGAAATCAGTGTTTCCTTATCAGATGGAGTTGAGCTTTAAAGTTGTATAAAATCAAATATTATTTTAGCTGACTTTTCTGTATCAAAATATATCTTATATACCGATACTGGCTGTGGAAATCACTCTATCTAAATATTCTGACATCATCTTAACACCAAAACATACAGCGCCATCAAAATCGCAAACATCATCTTTTTAACGTTTTTGTACCGATCGATCCACTTTTTTTTTTTATTATCAGACCATATCATATGCATTTTTGACTAGGATTCAACATGAAATTTTATTACTTGATATTGTTGTTGAAATATTCCAGAGACCTAATCGATACTGGGTTACACTGTTAAGTATATAATGCGATATTAATGATAGATATATTATTTTTATAAATTGCAGAACTGCCAACATGATAAGGAATTTCCTGTCAGAGCTATGCGTCTCCTTGGCAACCCTTTTGGTAGAAGCACCTTCAATTTTATCAGCATACTGTTTTAATATGTATCATATTTAAAACTGCGCTTGAAGCAGTTACCAAAGAAATATCATCATATTAACCAATTACACAGCCTGCCTCTAGTTCAGTAACAAAAAGTGTTTTTCACATTTTTTCATATCTGCTAAGTGCTTCTGGTTCCCTATGATTTGCAGTTATGATAAATCTGTAAACTGCACTTTGTTGTGAGGAATACACGCACACATATTTTCCCACCAAATTTTTTCTCCCTACTGCACGAGCAGATAATTTATCAATTGAATTTATTAACCTGTCTTTGATTTGTCAACAGGTTTAGGACCTAAAATTATTGTCATCTAAAACTTCTTTTCATGGGGGAATTAGACATTTAAATCGCAATAAAGCAGACTATATTAAGTTTTATAGCTCTATTTAATGGTAAAACTTACGGGAAATCACAACCATTCACCTTGTGTATTGCCTGAGGTATGAATTTTATGACCCGCCAATGATATGACTTACATCTCAAAAACTGACAATTATGGCTTTTTTGTAAACACACTGGAGTGTGCCGTGTTTAGTTACACAGTAATCTCCCCCTTAACCTGATCTGCCTCTCGAGTGGTTAAATAAACTATTGTATGCACATGGGTTTACTTAAAACTGTGATGAAGTACTGTCCAAATAAACATATTGAATCATTTTTATGGTGCACCTCAGACATCAGATGTCAGAAACCCTGCTTTTGTCAATATACAAAACCTCAAAAAGTGAAGTAGCATTTCAAAACCAAAAAAGTCCCATTAAAAAAGATTTTTTTTTAAAGTACAGTTTTTGTTTTTTTTAAATGATTAATATATCAGCTTAAAGTCAACACAGAAAACAGTGAATGAGAAAATACAACCCAGCTCTGTTTTCGTTTTAAAATTTTAATGATCAAAAGTTCAATTCAGGTATGAAAAATTCTCTTTATTTAATGACAAAGAGGGGCACAAAGTCGAAATTTGTCATCGGTACATTCAGGGCCCAAACGTTTAGGATAACATGACAATGTGCAATTCAATGGAAAGGCATTGTTCATCTGACATCATGTACAACATGTAAAATGGGACACTTGCATGTCAACACAAATCAAAATAAACTTATTGTTTGGTATTTTTCTATGGTTAAAAAACACTGGGTTTTATTTGACTTGGGACAAATATTTAATATGTTTTTAAGAATTTATTCTAGAAGATAAAACCAGTAAAAAATAACTGAACATTTTGAAATTACTTAAATATTTTTAAGTTGTAAATACCTTTTCTTTTATATAATTTCTGGAAAAAAAAAAGTTTCTACAATTACTTTCAATTTGTGTCCTAGTTTTGGCCAGACCCCCCCCCCCCCAAAAAAAAAATGAAATAATGCATGATCTTCTTAGCCCAACTGTAATCAGCTTGACTCTAGACTGACCTATTCCAATAGATCAATCAGCTCTAGACATATATCTATACTATATCTATACTGCACCAAAGACCAGTCCATCACCAACCAAATGACAGATGGACTCAGTTCTCTCCCTTTGTGAGCTCTTCAGTGTACCTTATCAGCCTCACTTGCAGATACCTTTACAATGACTGGCCACATTAGCATTGATAAGCTGAAAAATTTATTGGATATTGGGTAAAAAATGTCTACCCTAGTAAGAAATCCCTAGGACTGATAGCACCATCTTTCAGTATATGCATCTTCTAATTGAGCTGCATCCTGATTTCATCTCCTTGAGTTTTCTTTGTTGCCAAGGTTATCTCTCAATTGACCAACCACAACAACTGTTGTGTCTTTCATCACAGGTATCAGATAAACAGATGATTAATGTGGACCTTGCCTCTGAACTAAGCATTGGATCTTGATAACTATTTTGGTACCCTACCATTTTGAAAGAAACATCTGAATCCAGATGGCATGATAAAAGTTTTGCAAAACAAGAAGTCAGATTCAACTACTTCTCTAGAACACAATATCCAAAATCTAAAGCAAAATGCAACACCCTTTATAACCATTTTACCCATATTACATTTCAGCATCTTGATTTCTTTTAATTATCACACTTGTATGTCTGTCTGTGTTTTGGACATATCCTTACCAATATCTAACCATTAAAACTGTAGGAATTTATTTCCACATCAGAGTATCAGTGCACCCAGTTGCATGCTACTGCCATATTTCTCTCTTTGTATCTCAAACAGACAACAAATGAAAGGACGAAAAATGTGTCTTGATTATTTCACATGAGGTCTGCATGAGAAGTGAGTGAGTAAAGCTTCATTAGTGTAAAAAACAATCCCACCAACACCTGCATATCTCCAACTTAAAACACATTGTACCTTGCATAGTATCTGTTACCGATTATTAAAATTAAGATATATAACGTTTCTCTGGCAAAACAGCAGAACAGAAAATACATCTTGTACAAGCTTATCTAGGCTAATGGGCAAGGCCTGTGCAGGGGTGCTCTTCAATTATAAAAGCACCAACATCCATTTCGCGTCAGGACCACAAAAAGTCTTGAAAGAACAGATTTATATCCACTGCTACCCCAGCAACTAATTCATTACTCAAACAAACTTCTGACTGTTTTTCCCCTCTTAAGACGCAGGCAATCTTGGAGAAATGAGAGGCTCAGTACCTGTTATTCTATCTATTGCTTTTAACTGCTATGACACTAGGAAAGCAACTGTTCAAGATTTTACACATGGGTAGAATTCAGAGAACTTTTTCAGCAAAGCTTGAACATGGAAGTTTTAAAATGTTAGAAAGCAAGTACAGTAATTGAATAAGAAGCTTATACTTCATAATTTGTCAAACACACTTTTCCTATTACCAGCTAAGGTACATTTTTTAAACCTTTGAAAAGCTAAGAGTACAGATACATAGTGCTTTTTATTCAATTTTATAATAGTATTAGTATACACATTCCTACACGGTATGTACATTCAAAAAACAAATATCTATGTTTGTTTGTTTGTTTAATGTCCCTTTCGAGAATTTTTCACTCATATCAAGATGCCACCACTTGCCGGTGCAAATTTAGAACCTATAAGGCCAGTGAGCAGTGAGGGATCTTTTTCACGCCAGCACCTACTGCGACACATGACCTTGGTTTATGTGGTCTCATCCGAAGGACCAGTCTCCAGTGGGATTCGAACCTGCGACATAAGGATCAACTCCTTACTCTGTGACTCTAGAGCAAACACTCTTATCACTGTGTCACGCGGGCAACCAAATACCCATGTAGAGAATTGATAAAATTCAGGAATATGGTTATTGTTACTGAACATGAGGGACTGCACAGAAATTAACACAAAAAATTAAGATCTAGAAAATCTATCTTTCTGTCAATTAGTACATTCTGTAATGGTGAGCAGAGATAAGTTATGGTATGAAGATGACTGGCATAGCAGAAGTTGATTTATGTCCCCCCAGATTCTTAACAAACAGAAAACCAAAACATATTCTTGATGCTCATATATATTCAGCCTGTCACAGCTTTGGATGAACCTGATTTGAATGGCCATGAAAAACAAGTTATTTTTGCAATTGATTCACCTTCTCTAAGCTTTCTCAGAATTCTTACAAAAACACCCTCGCTCTGAATTAATACCCATATTTACCAATTTCTTGTTGTCTTAAAAAAACTAAAGTAAAGATTTAATAGTTCATTTTTTTTAAATATTCATTTTTTTTTAAATACATTGTCTAAAACTTAAAAGAGTTGAAAACTCTCCAAAAATCATGGACAAAATTCTGTAGCATTTGTCTCCATACCAGCCATGTGTTTCCAAAATCAATGTCAGTCTTTCAATCCACAAAAAGAAAAGGGGAAAAAAATCCTTTACAATTTTTGAAACTTTTTGATCAAGAATCACTTATCCTGCTGTGGATTCCACTCACCCAATTTTTCATATTTCAGCAGAAATGTCAGAGAATGTAACATAGATGCTGATTTGCATTCTCAGCAAGACTGCATGCAGAGAAAGGAAAGGATCGGAGTGTATGGATTGTTCCATGTGAACACAGAGAACATTGGGAAAAAAGAGAATTCAGTCAAGGGTTTTTGATCAATGAAGTTGATAGGTTTCTACACATATAGTGATGGTCTGGACTTCAGTTCTGTTCTCAGGTCATAAACTCTCACATTTAAAAAAGTTTTAAAAAAATCTTTGAAAGCCAGTGGAAAGTGTGGGTCACTAGCCAATCCTCAACCCTCCCAAACCATAAGTATGGTTATTCCACATCATTCATATATACAGTTGTAGTACGTGTATTACAGAGCTGCCCAACAACCAGACAATGTCATTAGTAATATTAGAACTTACAATATTTTGTTTTTACCATAAAAGAATATACTCACTAGATTTTCCTGTGATGATAGTAGACCCATTTTTAGAGAACAAGATATTGGCTGGAGGGTTACTTGCTGGGGGTTCACAGGGCAGGTTGATGTTGAGTCCCTCCATAACAGTCAGATGAAGATCCTCCCGAGGTTTAAAAGGCTTCAATGCTGAAGAAATAGTTGTATAAATAAATTAACCATTTGCATTATATTTTTTTCTACTGAATGAAACAGACTGGGATGTATCTAAATCATGTTTCCTACAAAATACCTTGACTGCAAGCATTATAGTAGTTAATACCTTATAAATACAGCTTTAACAATGAGACTAGACACCCCCCCCCCCCCCCTTTTTGAATTGTCTCAGAACACATACAAATTTTGACTTACAAAATGCTCAAGAATAACATCAAACAAGTTTTTCCAATATGTATCTGTCATTTTTTTTGTATGCTAATCAACCTTATCTTCTACTTTTTCAACAGTCAAAAACTAATTTGATAGCAGTTTTTATCTGACCGGCATTTTTCTTACTGATTTCAAACATGAAAGAAAATTGTTTCTGATATAACACTGGGTTATAAAAATAATGTTCATAAAAATCAAACCCCTGAGCCTGCAATTTAGGTTTCATGTTGTACTTTATCTATGCTTTTTCTGATAAAAATAAAGAGCCTGGATAATTACACATGTAAAGTAAGGGAGCTGCTTTGAAAATCACTGCAGTTAGAACCATTGATCTGGTTTAAATTAGGCAAATTTAACAATCAATTAAGATGGAATTCCTTGGGGGAGTCTGTAAGAGAATAACTGTCTGAAAAGGGGGAATTTTAAGTTCATTATACATATATCTGTTTCATTGGGAAAAAAGGGGGGGGGGCATAATTACTTTATACAGTACACTGTACCTGTATATCATTGCTTAATATCTATAGGAAATACATTTCAAAGAAAATCTACACTACTGTAAAGACATTTTGATTTCTTGGTATCAATAAGTCTTTGCAAGTTTCCTCAATTATTTTAGATGCAATTCAAACTGGTGCAGATTCTTTGTTCCTTGTTCATGTACTTAGATTGCTGACTAATTACAAAGCATTTTTTTTTTAAATATATATCACTAACTAAATGTTTCACATTTTAATCAGTTTTTTTTATTCTTAAACTTCAGATTTTTCAATTTTTTTTTTATTCAAGCCACCTAAAAGTCACTTCATGTATAACTAACATGAAATTTTTGATTTACTCAAATCTTATGAAAAAATATTCTTGAATTTTGTTTTGATAAATTTCACTTCCTTGATGAATATTTTTATACTTAATCTAACGTCTGCATTTATTGAAAATATTAATGACCGATGAAAAGAAACAATTTTTCCTATTTTTAATTTTTTATATTTAATTCTATACAAAAAAAAAATAAAAATTTTTAAAAAAAAAAACTTCATTATTCATACGAATTTCCTTCACCTTGAAACCATACATATTTTAAATATGAATTAAAAACTTGCATAAAACAAGGTAACATTGTGATTCTTAAAAAATAAAAAATAAGACAGTGTAATTCAACATGGAGCATGGAATTTTATAACTATCAGTTACCATTACAGTGGCAAATGCAAATGTAACCCTGCAGAAATTCTCTTTATTATATATGTCAGCAGTGATAATTAAAATGCTGTAATCTGTCACATAATCTCGCTTCACATCAATTTATTAAGATTAGATTCCATACTATCGCCACTATGGCAACTAATAACAATCATAAAAGAATGCCGTTTTATTCTATCAACTTTTTTTCATGGAAAGAACATCTTTTATCACCTAGTATATTTTCTCCAGACATTACACTTGACATTAATGATATTCATCCCTGTTGAAAATTTCTTTTTTTTTATTTTTTGTTTGGCTATGGCTACTGAAGACTTATTGGTCACTGGTCTTCTCCCGAAATTCTGTGTAAAAAGTTATTTTTTACATAGGCGATCTTTAAAAAAAAAAATCAACAGATATGCAGGACATATCTCATAAATCATGTCAACTGCCATCAACCCAACAAACAGCATTTTTCTTTTATCGAATCTTATCTCGAAACCACAGGAGAAACAAGAAGTAAAACATTTCATTGAAAAAAACCCTCTCTGGTACAGTTCTCAAATACAGGTAATTCGAAAAGCCGAGAAGCCTGATAAAAGCTTTCTGGCTGTATACTACTCTATCAAGTGTTTATTTTTCTATTGAAGTTTAGCCACTAATCTATTAGATAATCACCTAATCGGCCCCAGTAACGAGAAGAACCTTAATATCCTAGGTCCCCACACTCTTAGTGTTATAAAATATACAACTGCCATGTCGACTTGACAGTTGTGTATACACCAAAAACCATATCAGTCTTCTAAACCAACAGTTATTATCTTTTTACTGGGGCTCAAAATGGGAGAAATTTTTCATTTCATAAAAAACAGAAAAATCTCAGACTTCAACATTTGCCTTTTTTTTTCTTTCTTGTCGACAGAACAAAGTATTTGCATGGAGTCGTATCCTCTGCTCTAATTCCACCATCCTGTATCGCCTCACAAAAAAGTTTAAAATTCCTTTGCGCTGCACTTTAAGCCAAATAAAAATGTGCATAATTATGTGAGAGAGAGTTTATATTATACATTTTTATGATCTGAAGTTTTTTTTAAACACTTCTTTCATGAAAAGCACTACAGTAAAATTATTTTAAATGTGATGTCGGGAAAAATGTTAACATCAAGATGTTTCAAAACGTTTCCACTATTCCATTTCAATTGTTTCCTTCAGATTTCAAGAACACGTGAACAGTATGACTTGGTGTCTCTGAAAGATGACGCCTCTCTCTCTTCGTTTGAAGCATGTAAACAAAGAAATGATTTTAAAATACTTCAAAAAAATATCCACTCCTTAGATAGCCATCTTAATTGCCAAAAGACTGAAAATCTGTATGGATGTCAAAATTATTTATGATAGGCCATACCAAATCCCATCAGAATTTTGGATCAAATTAAAGGTTCTATATATTCAGGTGTCATTGTGCAATCAGATGCAAAAAAATGTTCCTTGTCACTTTTGCTATGATCTAAGAGTTGAAATCATATCTGCATTATACTGGTCAAAATGTGCAGAATTTTAATGGCTCTTAAGATCCATTTTTCAGGTCATAAATAATCTTTAAATGACTCAAATAAAAAAAAAAATGGAGAAAAAATATCATTTACATGAACAGATGAAAGATATTTTTTTCACCGGACTTGTGACAAAAGAAGACAAGGTATGCATGCATCCATAATTTTTATCAGAAGACGCTTGAAATCGGTACCTGATATTCATACAGAATTAAGTTTTCTGACATGCACAGTTGCATGCTAACACATATCATTGAATGTATTGTTAATTGTCTATCTATGTCAAAGGTATCTTTTAAAGATATCTGCATGTCTTGAGTCTTGACAACATGCTAAGTGCAGCTGTTTAAATGCTTCCATATTTTATTTCCACCTCTCATTAAGAAAGCAATTACCCTTATTCTTTCCGCATCTCAGAATAGATATTAAGTTTTAAATTGTCAAAAATTAAATGAATATAAAGTCAGGCTACCAGGAATAAATCTACTTTATTATACTTTGGAAAGTACAAGTAACTAATCAAAAAAAGTTTAAGTGCACGCCAAAGAATGGTTCCCTTAATTAATCTTCTGGGGCTTTTTTAGTTTAAATCTTTAAATCTCTGAAATTGCAGTTTTAGTCATGAATATTTTCTACAATCCTTAATTTAATATTGAAACATTTCCAAACTTTTTTGATGACATACCAAACCAGCCAATACTCTACAGTATACTTTTACATTATTACTCTGTATGTGGAGTATACGTAGTTGCCTCGTCTTTTGCTGTTATATACTGATCACACAAATTTATACAAGTACACACAGTATGTACTTCATGCAAATCCCTTGCATCTGTTTGCTCCACAAACACACATTTCCCATTTATTATCTTGGTGGCAGAAAAAACACCTTCATCAACCTAGTAAATAACATCTGTACGTAAAGTTGACTGTATGCTATATTACAGGTAGATTTTTGATTTGGGACTCTGATATGTATATATATACCTGCTTTGGAGAGTCTTGCAGGTTTACTGGCCAATGACCCTGCTTCGTTTGTGGCTATACACTCGTAAATCCCTTCACTGGATTCTGCCTTCCGTCTATGCCTGAACTTTTGTATATATAAATTTGTTCCATTCATTTGGAATTTCCTAGCATCATTCTGTTTGACAAAGTCTCCATTGAACTTCCACTGCACCACGGTACTTTGTGGGTCACTAACTCTGCAGGGTAGTGTCACTGGAGACTGAGGGGCCACTGCCATCGACTCAGGCTCTTCCAAGAACTGAGGAACCATTCCTAAAAAAATACATTTACAAATAGCATTACTTCAACTGACAAATTATGGAAAAGGGATAAGATACAAGAAAATAATAAAATAAATTGCATGTACATAAAAAACTTTGATGAATGAACATTCTGATGCAACAAATGGCAAAAATGGACATATGTGATAAATGGAGATACAGAAAGATCTAGATCTACAAATGTCTTTGAGACAATTTTTTTATGCTGCTTCATTTTTCATTCAGAGTGCACCATTTTGTTTCACAGCTTGCATTTTATTTATCCTTTATATGTTTTTATTTCATACCTCTTGTAAAAAAAAAAATAAGTGAAAAAAAAACACTTGTTTTCAATTCTATATGTTCTATAGCTTTGCATGTTTATAGACTAGAAATACTTGTCTCATCAAATCTGAAGATTGGAGCATGGTGAGATATAAATGCATGTTCATCAAGTTTAAAGCCTAAACTTGGTAAAGTGAATTAAAGCAAGTGTCAAGATCCACTGACATATAGTGCCATCTAGTGGTGGATTTGAAATGTCAAAATCAGAGCGGCGCTGACTTTTACAGATTTTTACAGAAAGTATCATCTGTCTTTACTAATTGCATAAAAAAAACCAGAAAAACCTATTCACCATGTGTTTTAATTCGAACACCTAATCTTCTTTTAAAAAAATACAGCAAAGGGTAAAACATATTGCAGATCAATCTCAATTAAAATTTTTGGGATGGCAAAAGTAAATCATCTGCCAGGAATTGAATGTACTTTTCCAAAATCAATTAATTACCTAAAAGTTATTAATAGTGGAGAAAACGAACTCAAGCATAAAATGACACTTCTCCTTCAGTTCAGAAGTCACCTTTGTGACCACTAAAGGTGTAGCTGTCATTATTTCAGTGTACTTGACCAGTGATTCCTAAAAGCAACATTGTGGGACAAAAGGTTGCAATTTCTGCAGTTTCTGCTTTTTGAGAGGCAGGTATGGTTAATCCCCCCTCAACGGGGGACACAATAGCCATTAAATGTACATTTTGAGTCTAATCTCCAGTTATTCTGTGGTCAGTGTGACACCTGTGAAAGGAAGAAATGGCTACTAACAATACAGGTTGCCATGAAAAGATTTCCCTCTCAATGCCTCCTTAGAAAGAGTGCTTCATTTTGGAGCTTTGATACCATTTGGGAAAAGATGGTTTTAGACTTTTAAGACATCATTTGTCACACTTCAGATTTTCTTGCAAAATTTCTGAAATCAATTTTTATTGTCTTAAAAATGTGAAAAAATTGAATTCACTTTCAACTTTCTGCTATTTCAACAAATTATTGTCTACCTCATAACAATTGAAAAAAGTGTTTGAAGATTAACAAAGGGCTACTCAGGGATCAAGAAAGTAATTAGAAGGACTGGTTTCCCATGGCTCCATCATCAAGACAGCTGCTTTGAACAATAAGAAGTAACTTGTTTGCCATATTAGCCCAAAGAATTTGGCAAAAAAAGAACTTCATACCAATTTCTCTTGTTATATTAGCAGTGACCTATCAATATACTCCCCATAGACACATTTCCTAAATTTCTCTAAAATAGATTTATCTTAATACTCTCAACAGCTGATGGCCAAGAAAGAGAGATTTTTCCTTAAAAACTTGAAGGGTAATGTGTTTGTAAAGGGTTAATGTCTGCCTAATGGCTGAAACTAAGAGGAAGAAACATAGAGTTCCAAACCAAGAGATGTCTTTTTAATACTGTTAATGGCTGCTAACACTGCAGGATGGGGTGATTAAGTTAATTGGAAAATGCACAAAATATTTGTACACTATGAAGATAAGAAATTGAGAATCAGTTTTAGATGAAAATTAGGGGCTCTGCAGAGGGAGCAAAGTTATTGAAAGTTAAAGTAAAAAAAATTCTCTTGTTTCCATAGCAATCTCTTCCTTTACTTTCCCCTCCAATGAAAGAATCTAAATATTGTTCTAACGGAAAAAAATAAAAATACAATAAAATTTCAAGTTCCTCAACATGTTTTATTATATAAACATTGTTAATGTTTGCAGCACTCCAAAGCCCTTTTTCTGTGTGTCTATGCTTACATCAACACAGCAGTAAGCAATTGGTTTTATGACTTTTTTTATGGGGTGTAGGGATACAGCGCCATTGTGGAGCGGGTGTGAAGGTTCCTCATAAAATTAAGAATCCACATTTTAAATGCGGACCACACTTGAGCAAAATGCCCAAAATTGGAGTGCAAGGTTCTTATCTGATGAAATCGGGTATATGCTGCTATATGAAACATGTCGTAAATTTATAATACACCAATAATTTTAAGACTACGTAATGTCGCTCATAAAAATTTTGGTGACATAGGGAGTTTTTTGTTAATATTCCTAAACTCGCTTCAATTTTCTTTACTATAGAGTAATATATATTCAGAATAATTTTTGTATGAGTCAAAACAATGCTGCTCTGAAATCACTTCTGAAATTCTTTCAAAGAAAATGTGAACTAGGCCAAAATTAATTCTAAAGAATTTATTAGTTTTTTATACTTTTCCACCATATTGTTGACATCTAGTATCTAAAAGCATAGGATGTAACTTTTTTTCTCATTTCTGACAGTGTATGATGTACATGTATTAACATTTTTATGCACTAATCCAATATTCACCACTTGCAGTTATAATTCAAATTTTAATTACACAGTGCATTCTTTCCTAGATAAGTTTTAATTTTTTTTCAGTACCCACTCTGTTAATAAATTTTTAATGCCATCTGCATGCTAATCATGTTCATAATCCATGCATTTTTCAGAGTCAAATGTAAAATAATTGCAAATGAGTGACATTTCATTATACTGTCATCACTTTTTAGGGGGTAGACATTTTCAGTCCATACAACCCCAGTGCATGAACCAAATAAGTCCTCAAAAACAATTTTCAGAGCTGGAAATTCTGACCAGTGTGACAAATACTGGGCTTTTTTTTCAGTTTCAATCTTGGGCTTTTCAATGTTTTCACATGATAAGTACGACTGGTTGATATAAATCAAGGTAAATGGTCCTCGTCCATTCACCTGAGGTGTTTTGAAAAATGTTTGTGAAACATGACAGAATAGGCGAGTTATAGATTGGGTGAAGGGTTCCATTGTCCCTGCCTATCCGATCTTCTTGACGAGACTCCATGTTCAATGGTTCAGTAGATGGTTGGGTATTCCCTCTGGGTGTTAATTAACCAGCTGATAAGTGCCACAAACAATGTAAATATTATCTTCTTCGATCTGTTGAATTCTGATATTTTTTAAATGTTTTTTTAAGAAGGCCTGACACTCAAGAAAAAATAACAACCTGCAGCATGCATTCTGAAATGCTGTTTATTTTAATACTTCACTATCTATACTGAAAAGATTTTGATTCTTTTCCACAATGGAGGAGGGGAGTGTACAGTACATTTTTTTCCTAATTGTTCTCGAAAACTATTTCCCCCCTAAACAAAGAGATCAACGTTTCATGCATTCAGTACATCTTGTTGAAAAAAAAATAAATATCTATAATACATTGTACACTACTTTCATGTATGCTTGTCTTATTTTGTTTTTTATTTTTGGATGGTTGGCATCCCTACACAGAAAGTCTGTCAGTTAAGACTTGGCTGAAGTGTCACCAATACACATCCATATGTCACTAACATCACACTGTCATGGTACTGACTTGCAGGCCCCAGAACTAAACACTGACTGGCTTGTCTCAGGGATTCTTTATTAGCTGTAAATCATAATGCCTTGTTGATTAACATCACCATAAATTAGCTTCACCTATAAATAACTGGCTACTCCTTGTCAACCATTCCACTGCGACATATGTGGAGTCTGAGAAACAGAGATCATTGGGAGGATTATGAATGAGGTTTCACCTCACTTGTTTATGACCTTGTGTACACGATCTGACCAACAGATGACAGTGATTTTTGCTTATTTTTGAATGCTTTTTACATTCATTTGGATTTTTTTGCATTTGAAGAATGTATTGGTTAAATACCTTTTCATATCTTTTTAAAAAAAATACCGCATTTTTAAGAATGCAAGGTAAAATGCAAAGAACATTTAGTTCATAGAAATCAAGGGAAATAACTTTGAGCAATGCAAATATCTTCAAACTGTAAACAACATATCGTTAATTGAAAAGTTTTCAAGTACAATAAGGTTTAGAATCTCTAAATATTGCATTAGAAGTTTGAAAGCTGTAAGCTAGTTCAACATGTTCAAAGTGATACAAAGCTGTGAATAGTCCTAGACCAAGGAATAAAAGGGCTTCCTTTGACACTACCTTCATAGAAATTTGAAGAGAAAGAAAAACAAACATTCTATCTTTATAATCATGCAATATAAACAGACTAAACAATACATCTTAATTTTGCACTATTTTGCCTGACACTTTAAGGAATTTCTTTAAATGGGTTCTTATAGATTGGCTGAAATTAGCTTCCCTCGAGTGAGTCATATCCATTCTTTGAAATGTACGTGAAGTTGTGTCACCTTTAACAGATGTTCCCAATAAAATGAATTCTACACAAAAACCTTAACTTTTATAATGGAAACTTACACTTCCGCTTCTCAAAATACGAGCCTTTGCAGGTCACGCAACATGAAGAGACTTGAAAACAGTATTGAAAACTCTTTTCATCAGCAGTCTATTTGCAGCTTTGAACAACAATTTTATCAATCTTTTTTGTATACTTAAGATCAGGCAATCATTTTAAATTATGCAATAATACAGAGGATGCTCGTTGAAAATGAGACATACATGAACTGCATTAGTTTGGTGAGAATTTTGAGTTAATATGTAGAAACTGACCAAAGGCATAAATGTCAATATTCTGTTAAATGGGAGAGGGAAAATAGTGTGCTCATATGGAGAAAACTATGACAAAAAAACGAGGGCCGCATAAAAATCTCGTAAATTAACACTATCAACCAAATCAATCTGCATATCCTTGTGTCAGAAACTCGATTCCTGTGACCAATGTACCGAAAAGGTACCTAGCCCTGGCAAAGTAAAACTTCACAGCAGACGGTCACACCACTGAATTCAATGCCAACAATGAATTAAAAGTAATTTCTATGCAAAAAATACAATTAAACTGGAATCAAAATTATCATGATTGAGTTTAAATATCCAAATTACTTGGCAATGTTTAAGGGAGTTCCTTTTTTACCAATGACACTCGTCGAAGGAAGGAATTATTCTTCAAAGACAGATAATAAGAGAATTTTTGCACGAGAAGAGATTCCTATAGAATTTTTTTTTTACAAGATAAATGAGTGGAAATTTATACTGACTAATACTAATGAGTCAGGGATTGCATAATGAATTATAGCTCCAATTTTCAACAACATTAAGACCATAAATCTCAAAGTTTTTTTTTTTTAAAAATTCCAAACACGCTTTAATATGTAAGTTACGACTATTGGTGAAAAAACAGTCCTACTTGACTTTGGATACAACTTGACAATGAACCTTGGATAAAATAAAATTTTAAGTCACTAGATCTGACAGTAACTAAACAGATCATTTAAATTGTGAGGTTGCAAATAAATGAATACCAAGACCCCTCCCTTCCTCTCTTTGGCATTTTTAACATTTTGAATGACAATTAATATCCTCCCTGAAAATTCCATGAATCAAACAATGTAAGCATATGAGACCAAAATATACATGATTTCTTTCTGCAGGGCCCCAGCAATGGTCATAAATACAAGACAAGATGCATATATCATGATGATTAGGTGCAAATGTTTTTTGGTTTTTTGCACATGTAATAAGCTGCATGTTCTCCCATTCTGAACACCTTGTCATGGGTGACATGAGGATGTCGTGACATTGTCGATGATATAGTGTTCTTTTTTCTCTGTACTGACTTTAATGACTATTATTTACTTGAGTGAGATTTCTAGTCAGTACATGTTATAATCATTATAATATGACGCCTTCATTTGATTTGTCAGATTGTTTTACATAACTTCGCTTAATGTCTATTTTTTTCCTAATATAGTACAATTGGATACATTCAATAGTTCTAGAATAATTTTGTGCATGACCTGGTTTTAATTGGGACAATCATACTTTTATATAAACTTCACTTTCTTTATCTGTGTACCTATAGTAAAATTAAGATTTCTTAGGAATCATCAAGTATCTTTTATAACATATGAGTTTCTGTTTTCATTACTTAAACATCATGAAAAATCAGTCCTTTACAAATTCCTTGTGCCCCCCCCCCCCCCTTTCCTGCAATGAAAAAAGGTTTACACCCATTAGTGAACTATAAAAGAAAAATTATCTAATATAGTCTTTAGCTATTTTTCTCAATATTCTTAAATTTCATGTATTGAACTCTGAGTCCACTGTTGTCAGATGAAGAACAAGCTTTTGAGTATTCCAAAATATTAACACACCTGTTTATCATCAGATTTAAATCATTTTTAGAAAAATCTTAGGGGGAAAAAGTGCAGGTTAATTAACTGTTAATTGTATGTATTGCCTCACCCATATGGGTGTAAAATGCAGTAAGGATTATTATTATTAACACAGACAAGAAATGCATCTGCTCTGCATACTATATAGTAAAACATTGGTCAAACAAGCAGCAACAGATTTGATTAGGCAATTATAATGTTTTTAATATTACTTTTATTGATTTCTTATGTTTATTTTTCTTTAAATTCTAGAGTGAATCAAAAAAAAATTTTTGAATTAATGGTATTCAAACAATTGAAAATAAAGATTACATAAAGGAATTTATCATATAGCCTTTTATTTTATTTGTCCTATTGCATAATGCAGATGTACTGGGAAAATTTTTTACTTTTTTGTGAATACTCTAAAATGACATATTTTCGTGGCTTGAGGAAAAAGTATTGATTCGATTTGAAGAATTGTTGAGTAGTAATATATGTAAAAAATTACATTTTGTGGTGGACATAAATTCATGGGTCACTTTTATACCTTAAAACAACAAAAATTAAACCCCATGAAAATTAGTGATTTCACAGTACAAGTAAACTTCTTTGTGTAGCACCTATAAACATATTGACTTATTCTATTTTTTTGATTTTCAGGTTAGAGGACAAACTTACCCAGACAGGAAGAGACCAGAATCAGAGATAGGACAGATTTCATCCTGGCTGCTTCAGGAGACTGACCGCATCCTTCTGTCATAAATCCCAATCATTTGTAAAACAAAGAATGCTGCCTCAATCACTCACTGAACACTGAAAAAAAAAGAAAATAGAGAAAATGTAAAAACATGATGTGTATACAATATGTAAACAAATATCACACAGAAACCCAAAAAAATGTAAACTATGAAAGGTTATTCGGAGGCCCCTGCCTTTGGACACAGATTGAGGTGGCTGGAGAAAATTAATTCTTAGAGAAACATTCCACAGATCAGAAAACTTCCTTGAAGTGAAAATATATGAAAAAAGTCCAAAAATGTTTAAAAGACTGCCAGACTTTGGAGGTAACAGTCAACAAGTAATGTTGCTAAGCAAGAGAAAGTAAAAAAAAAAACAAAACAAAAACGAAAAATTAAACACATCTTGAAGTAGGGCTATCATGAAATACACCAAGTGAAGCATGTGTTTGCAAATTAGAATTTATTTTGTGGGAAGACTGTTGCAAACATTAAACAGATTCATTGGTATTCTTTTTTTTACATTGAAGGAAGTCAACATACAGCTTTATTTCCTCTTGCCTCTACTGATTCCAACATTTTGCTTTCCATCATTCTAATGTTGAAATAGCTGATATTAAAAGTGGAAATCATATGACATTTCACATCCCCCTTTTTCCCAACAAAAAAATCAAAATTTTTTACTTTTCCAATTTTTTTTCATATTGGATTATATGAAACTAGATGAATTGAATTTATAACACTACCGACAGAAAATATATTGTAGTTTCTACTGACAGCCTACAGGCTTATAGAAGGAAAAAATACTTTGTTCAAAATCACACAGGAAGTAAATGTACGTCTCCACCCTCACCCCCACCCCCTTTTTGTAAAAACTTGAAAAATAACAATTTCATTTAATTGACGTTTATTGTGAAACCTGTTATATACATGTAATGTTATGGATATTGTACTTCAGGTGCTCTTACTTCACTTCCGCCAAGGATAAAAGGAGCGAATACACATGTATGCACATTTTACTGATAAATTGACTGGGGGGGGGGGGGTGTTAAAAAGTCACAGGTACTTGGGTCTTGGTTTATAAATATGCATGTACCTTATTGATATGCAAATCATGTACTCTACCTTTTTTACATATCAATAAGGTAACCGGTACATACATATTTATATACCAAGACCCAAGTACCTGTGTAAAAATAGCTGCTTAACGCCCTATGAAAAGGCCAAGTATATGATACAAAAGACTGTATTCAGAAAAAAACTGAAATGTATTGATTAAAGCACAAAATTTTACAGCTTTAATTATATTTGAACAATATCTTATTCATTAATTTTCTCTTTTCATGTAAGCAAGTTTATTACGAAGTACAAATTGTACTTGTACTTCGGGTTCGTTGCCACGATGCTCTCAGTAAGGAAAATACAAATTTTACCGATAAAGTTACAAATTTTACCGATAAATTTATTTAAAAAAACCTTCTACATATATGTAATAGTCTTTCGATATATAAATATATTCACAACTTATAGTGTTATCAATGATTTACCATTATTTCAATGACCATTCACACAAAAAGTTCTTTTTTTATTTTCAAGCAGCTATAATCGCCTTGTTTTTCTTTTTAACTTCGGGCTCGATGCTATCTGATGTTCTAGAAGCTTCCGTCAATATTAAGATCGGCGAATGACGAAAGTAATTTGCACATTTCCCTTTTTAATCAGTTATCACAACTTATTTCTTTTATATCATTTAAATCAAGTTTTGATTGAATAATAAAGTGATGACGTTTTATGAAATAAATAAACGATTGCTTGTTGTCAGTTTCATTAAAAACTGCCAGTAACTTAGATCCGCCAACCCGGAAACGCCACCGTACTCACGTTTTTGCTATTTCATGGCTGTTTATAGAAAATAAAAGTAGACTTTTAATTTAATGTACGACACTTACTTTGCGAGTGAAATCTAAATATAGTTTACGGACATCAGCTTGTATCTAGTGTATTGTTAGAGGAGTAAGTAAGAACTCTGGTGCAGCCGTTTCGGAGTTTATTTGCAAAATTTATTAATTTATAAGTATAGATATACTTCATTTTACAAAAGATGACAAAATGAGTTATTTTTATTTTCATTATCAAAAATATGAGTTTTTCTTCTCATTATTTATTTGGGTCTAAATGAACCCAAAAACCCACTTTTTCTTTGATTACATCTGTAGTTTTCCAAGATAAACATGCATTCTTTTCTTACTGAACCCAAAACATATATTATCCTAACACTTCCTTTACATGTAATTCAATCAGGCTTATCAGTTCAATCAAAATAAATTCAATTGCTTAGTTTATTTTCAAGTTTATTTTTAGAGAATTCAGGATATCTTTTAAATCAATACACTTGATTCTTGGAGAATTGAAATACAGTAATTTATTCACCATGACAGTTAGTAAATGATGTTTGTGATCAAAACATCTAATATATACTTATAAATTAGTAGTGTCACCATTTATTTTCAAGTTTAATTCTGGTGTATTCAGGATGTGTTTTAAATCAATACACTGATGAAAATTCAAAATACAGTGTTCTATGTACCCTAGCAGGTCGAAATTTCTATTTCACATATGCAATGTCACCATACTGAACATCGTACCTTGAAAATATAACATATGGTGCCCTATAAGTACTATAAAAAACCATAGATTATTGTTTTGTCTAAAAAAAAAATATATATATATACTATCAAATCAATGAACTAAGTTTTGTTCATTTAGGTGCATATAAACTTTACAAATATGTCTGGCAGTGAAGGAGCCAAACTAATATTCAGATTAAATATCCACAAATTATATGAAAAAGAAGTTTTTCCAACCTGAAGCCTTTGAACAAATCTAGGAGCAGACCCGGAGCAAATTGACATAATTAAAACAAGTGTAGCACGGAAACACGGTACATGTAAAAAATTTCTTTTCTGGCTTGAGAATCAAAAGAGATAATTGAAAGATTAGCTCGTATAGAAATGAACTAGAGCTGGTTTTGCTAGTCTGTTCTTCCTTTTGATCAAAAACCTTGCACATGTTGTGTTAGAATTGGGTTTACACCACACAGGCACCGAAAGCTAGGAAAATGAGGTGTGCTGTGTTTGACCCAGTTCCAGCTCTCACTAGCCACTGGCGTTAGGAAATTCACTCTCTTGTGTCATTTTAATAACTTTAATTTACACTCCTCTTTCATTTACTTTGGTCCCGACTGATACAAGAGCTTCTAAAGAAACATCATTATCGAACAAGAAATTAAACAGTCCTGCAACACCTCTGAAACACGAAAACCAAATTCCATTTGCTGATGGCGTATCAGATTAGATGATGGGATTTCTTTTGCTACAGATGTTCGTGTGGCACCTATGAAAAAACATCTAGGAATTCACAGGCTATTTATATTTCTTCTCTTTTCTAAAAACACCTCTTAGCAACAGGAATAAAAAGCTGGGCACATGAACCCAACACCTACCTGGTATTATCATGCAATTATTTCTCACTAAATGGTTAATTTCTTATATTTCCCAATGTAACTGCAAGCGATAAGCATGAAAAAGGCCGATTTATGTGAAGATTTGTATATCAACATTAGTTTGAGAGGTAGCACCCATTCCACATAAGTTTTATTGCAGTTTACCTCTGCTGAACTATAAAAATCAGCTCACAACATTTAATGCAGAAACATTAACTCCCCTTCATTCACAGAAAGCTTTGCCATGTCCAGCATGATGAACCCGTTATCCATTCACAATTTCTGTCTTGTTTTGCCACCATAAATTACCACAATTTACAATCGACAATCAGGGGGCAAATCAAAGAAAATCCAAACAAAAACACTCCAGAGCAACGTTTTTCTTCCTCCAAGAATGCTACACATGCACGCATTTAATGGCCGATTTTGTGTATACACCGAGTGCTAGAAACGAGATGAGAACCTCTGCAGTAAATTTGTATCCAAGTATCAAATAACACTGGCAAGTTTTTTTTGTTAGCCCTGTCAAAATATAAATAACTCCACGTGGTTTCCCCAGAGGCAGAGAGGGGAGGAAATAGGATCTGGCTCCTCTTGCTGTATTGATAACAAATACACATATAAACTCATTTTGGCTACACTATGGCAACATCATTTTCTGAGGCGAAAATTTATCAAAAACAGAAATTTCATACCATTCACCAGGTTTTCTTCCCATTAATCATTTTGGCCTCATTTGATGCCGAATATTTAAATACATTTTTTACACTTTCTGAACTCCAAAGTTCACATATCCAACAGGGGGCTCTCTAAGAGAACATCTGATTCGATTTACATTAAAACATCAATTTTTTTCCCAAAGTATAGGAAAAAACACATAAAATGATAGATGGCATTTTATAACACATCTTTGATCATTTGAATTTTCAAACTCAGCTCTTTGATCTATATTACACACAGAGAGTAAAAGAAAACAAAAATCATCCAGTTTAGAAAACAAGACTTTTAAGCCTATTATTTATAATTAAAAAAAAAAAACATTTTAAATGTTTGACATAATTTTTTCTTAGTTTTACATGTGTTCAATCAATAAGACTAACAAATATTTCATTACCAGTCATTCCCTGCTTCTTGAGCTATTGGCTTCCCCTTTTAGAAACCCACTTCAAACAGCTTTTTGTGTGAAAACCTCTCTCTCTTGTAATTCTGGAATAGCTATTATTTCATTATTCACTCTGAATGAGGAATGAGAAATCAAGGCATCTGACATTTGCACCAATTTCTCAACATATTTTTTTCCTGTTAAAGCTATCATGTCCAAAGCATTTCATGCCCGTTAAATCACCATCACTCAAGTGATAATCTTCAATTGCAGACTCCATTTTTCAAACTTCTGACACCAGACCATAAGAGAATTCTACACTTCTAATGAATACTAAGAGCAGAACAAAATAAAATTGAATATTAAGTACACAACAAACTATTTTAACTACTTTTCTTGAAAAAAAAAGTCCACTAATACTACTACATATCTGACCATATATGCTTTCATATACTGTAAATAACTTATTATTTGTGAGGACTATATTTCTGTGTAATTATGGGAGACTGTCTGCTCGTGAAAATTTCATTCTTGTGTATATTAGTATTATGAAAAATTATATACAACAGTAATCAAAACTTGTGATTTTTTTTTCTCTCCCAAATAGCAACCTCACCAAAAACAAAAAAAGATTTAGTGATCTACACTCTGCAGTAGAATGAAACTAAAAGGAGTCAATGAACAAACATATAGCAATTACTTAGATATCATTCATCATCTGCTAGGACTATACACTTGCCTTTTGTGATTACAAAATTAATTTATTTTTCGATTCCTTCAAATTTTCTTAATTTGAAGGAATTCTCACAAAATTATAAAATTTCGAATTCACGAAACATGTTTAATACTTTTTTCAATATTATTGTTTCAAAACTTTTTTTTTATTGACGAAAAACACCCAAATGTATATATACGTATACAAGCAATAAAAAAAAACAATTATCTTTCGACTGACACAAGCTTTCTATATAGAGGGGCGCATGACTGCATCCAGAAACATGGAGAATTTCTTTGGCATTGTTTGTGATGCTTGCGGGTGGTATTTCAACATTATATTATATATCCTTTTTACCAATTATTTTTTAAAGTCTGCATGTAACTAAATAATTAACTAGACTTCCTGGCCATTGGGTTCTGGAAAAAGTCATATTTCTTTCTTTTTGGCATTGCTCGGGATAGCTAATTTCTAAAGTGAAAAAAAAATTTCTCTCTCTCTCTTTTCTCTCTCAAGCTTATCCATTAAATATGAAAACAAAATTGCTAATATGTCTGATTTTTTTTTCACAGGAAATGATAATTCAGCAAAAAACAAACTCTTTCACTGAACACTCACAGACAAATGGTTTCTTCTGTTTAAATTTCATGTAATTAACTGTTATTGAGTTCACCTGAAAAATAAACACAACTATTTTTTGCACAGGATGCAGTCAAACATTTACAGACTTGCTAGACCAATGTTGTTTTTTTTTGTTGTTGTTTTTTTTTTTTTGTATTTGATGATTTTGCTATTTAACAGTCTGAAAAAATATTTTTCCTGAAATTGCTTTGCTAAAACTTTTCTTACTGATTGGACTGTCTAACAATGCTGTACCGTTATTATTTTCATGATGAAAACATAAGAACAAGAAACCATATCTATAATCCTTAACTTAAATCTTGTTTACTGTGTGTAAGACTGTACATACAAATTTTGGATAACAGATTAAGTTGCATTAACAATGATTTTTTTTTTCTCCCATTTCGTCAAATAACGATCTTGTGAGTTTTCTCACATATTGTTATGTGCATGGGTTATATCACTACATCTTGAGAGACCTTCTCTAGTTTAGATCTTTTGTGTTGAAAACATCGTCAAATTATTAAGACCTTTAGCAGACTTTAGATTTTACCAAACATGATGCAAACAAGAGAATCAAAAGACACTTTAATGAAATCCACTTAAATATCAGTATTCCAAAAGAAAGTCAACAGAACACCGATTTCAGATTTCAATGCCCCTTTCTTACAAAACTCATCATCTACAGCACCCATGACCCTGGTTTCGAGTGCATTATGAAATGATTCAAATAATGCCAGACCTTTCCCATTTAGAGCTGCAATTTATTTTGGAGTCTTAATTTAAAACCAGAAAATTATGTGTAAAGATTATACTCAAACAATTCTGAAAGCTATTAAAATCCTTGCTTTCAATAAAAATATTCAAGTGAAAGAAATTGGCGATGATTTTCAGATGGGTAACTTATAAAATGATATATGTTTAGCTGCCCAACAACCCTGTTTCTATGGTGGTAAATACTTTAACAATGCCCTAAACAATTTTTCACCACTCAAGCACAAAAGCAACTTTTTAGGATGCTTTGCTACAAATATGAAAACCTTTTTACTGGAAATAAGTACCCATAATCCCTTTATTTCAACAAACATCCCAGCAAATCACATTCATGTATTCTGGCGTGGAATTCCAAAACTAATCCCTGTAAAATTTTTCTCTATATGAAAGAGCTGTGTGAAAATCTTGACCACTTGATTCTTATGTGTTTGCTTCCCTAATCAAAGCCACAAATCATTGTAAGCAAGAGTTCACCCCCTTTTTTAAAGGGTTCACTAATTATATAATTAAAAAGAACTGTGATTAATATTGTACAACTTGAGGAACATCCAAGCTTAATGAATAACTTAAATATATCTTAATTATGAGTATAAATATGCAACATCACAATCATGTACGCAGTACATTAAAAATCTTACAAAATGGGGAACAAGATATAAATTTCAGCATGGGTGTCTCATGGCCACAGAAGATTCCTTAAAACAGTTTCACATATACACCGAGGTTCACGAAATAAGTACAAAAAAACTTCTCAACTCTGTTCCCCCTTGGAGAAAATTGTTGCTTAATCTCTGCACTATTTGATCTACAACCATTTTCCTCCAAATTTTTTGAAATACATTTGTGTAATGGCTCTGAGAACATTTTTCTCTAGCCAAGGTACATAATATTTCCTCATATTCAAATCTTATCTTATGAATCATTCAGCTGTGAAAAGTTGAAATAATCACCCTTTTCAAAGCACATATTTTCCCAATATTTTTATGAAACATCAGAGAATGGAATCACATGAATTAGCTGCCTTAAGATAAAAGAGAAACAAGCTATTAATTTGCCTTATTTTCGGAGTAAATTAGCCAGATACTTGTATCTATTTTCAAAACGCACATCAGGAAATGTTGTAGCTCAGAATTGATGTCGAAAAATTATAATGCCAACTCAAGCTCCTGTTGAGAAAGAAATGTTAAACCTAAGTGTTTTTAGCTGAAGCAACCATAAATTTTGCCAAAGGGGGACAACTCCCTGATATATTCATATATTTAGAACACAGCATGAATATTTACTCAATGTCAGAAAAAAAAAATTTTAAACCAAAGTTAGGAAACTCTTTAATAATAGTGTTAATGCAATACAAACTCCATTACATTAATAGCCATTAAATGTAAAAATGGAACTACCTAATTTGGCCAAAAAATTTCTGTCCTCTGAAATAACTCTGCAAAAATTAAAAAAAAATAAAATAAACATTCCTGAAGAAAATGTGCAACCAATATCATATACCACAAACAATTTTACCTCCATATTTTCCATGTAATTTAGCGTTATTACAAATTTAGCATTTGGCAGAACATGCCAAAGGGAGATAAATGTGTTATGCAAAATCTGATAATAATTCTTAAATCACCTTAGATGATGTACAGATTTTCTACTCCACCTTGACTTTAAAATGCACATCCAATGCAGGCATATTGTCTTTGTAATCCATGGAGCCGATCCTTTTAATCCGGGGAGAATATTAAATCCGATATACCTGACACAAATTTAGTTTGACAGGCCCTGTTAACTAAAGGAACCCTATCCCGACCCCAATTAAGGAAAATGTGATGCAAGTAAACTGCCAAAGCAGTTTGTTACAGTGCTGCAAAGAAAATTAGATTATCAAATTCAGGCCTGAAGAAAACTTTTTCCTTTGTTGCTTTGCAAACAGAGAATAGATAAGTTTGATAAAGGGGGAAAAAGGGAGCGATGAGCCACAAATGTGTAATCAGGTTAATTCACACTAACATAAACACAACATAGAGACACTCAACAAAACAAAACAAAATATTTTATTTTTTCTTTCCTGAAGTAGGATTAGGGTTTATACCCAATCTGTGATTTACTGGGAAATGCTTTAAGAAAATATGAAGACCAGAAAAACAAAACTATACGGAATTAGGACTGGGGAATGTATAAGTGCTAGTCACAATACGTCTCTTTTTGTGCCGAATCCCAGGGAAAAACAGAAATGATAATAAGTTGTGTAAATAAACTGGAGGTAAATATGCTGAAGAAACACAAAGCTTGAGGGCATTTTTTTATTTCCAAATCAATTAACAAACTGGTTGACACATAAAATGATGGTG